TAAGGCGATCACTCAAACAAGGCTGTCTCTGTAGGTGCGACGCGCTCCGATTAACGAGACGGCGCGCGAGTGCAAACGTGTTTAATAAAACAAACAGCACCTCTTTGTAAAGCAATGTAAGCCGCTTACTGGGCCACCCTTCATGAAGGAATTAAATGAAACCAACAAGGGAAAGAGCTGGGGAGAGAGAGAGAGAGGCCAGGGGACGTGAGGGAGGAGCTGCGAGGAGTACTCTCTAATGAATGTACTGCGTGTGATTTAATGAGATTTGTGGGTAATGTGGGAGCACGTTTTATTGCAGCTCTGCGTTTGGAGGCAACGCTGCTGCTAAACATTGCTCCAAAAGGTTCCATGGCTGTGGACCAACGTGTTTCATTTAACTCGGTTGAATCGACCCATGTCTGGGAATTATTTTATAACCCAAAATCCATCACACTATACATTTCGAACAATGTTGGCGTATTGCACTGAATGGGCGCTACGGTGTTTATGGATGACTCGTTTCTATAACGCCAGGCAGCTCGACAGTATATTTAATGTCACAGTGCTGATGAGACTCAAACAGGTGAATCCAGCCCAGAATTTACTCCAGGAAGACAATAGTGTAGAAGGCCCAGACAGAGGCTGATGCCTGAATTGATGTTTGGTTGTATGCTTTGTCAGTTTAATACGTAGGCTTTCACGACCAATATTATCCATGAGAGAGGATGTTGGAGTTAGATCGCGTAAATATAAATGTGTCGTTAAACCCACCACCACCCGACACAGCCAATTAGTAAGGTTTGTCACGTAAACAAAAATTCGTTACAAATCTGGCTGTTGCCTGCTAGTTGTAATTACTGACGAAACGTCGTACTCGAATTGGCATGTTTTGTTGACGTGACAAACCTTACTAGTTGGCTGGTGGCAGGTTCAACGACACATTTATATTCACGCTATCTAACCCAAAAAAACCCTCTATTACGTATGCTTTTTGTGGAGCTCACCATTGCCTACAATATCATCGCAAGAAAGCAAATCGGACACACTCGTTATTCCAGAACCTCTCAAGGCAAGTCATTGCCCCTCATTTTAGGAAGACGAAAACAAAATCAACATTTCAAAAGAGGCACGCATCAAGACACTCGACCTCATTCATCAATAACATTGCCTGATGACAGAAACATAAAAATAGAATGTTTTGGAAAATGGTCTTCAAAGCACAGCTCCATTGTACAAAATGCATTACGCCCTGTTTTGGTCGACTGTCGCCAATAAATGATAAATAAATAAAACAGACTCGGGTCTGTTTCGCCACCAAAAATAAAATAGCATTCAAGACTCTTGCCCATGGGGATTTCTATAATAATATTTTCCAGCAGCGGTTGTTTAAGCAAGAAAACTCGAGACCCGGTTGCAGTTCTCTGGGATTTGCGACGTAAAGCTGAAGTTGAACGGTGGAATGTTCATACAAATATTGCATTGTTGTTGAACACGTCATTGTCTGTATTTAGCATCGACTGAGACCGAGTAAAGAAAATCGACACAAGACGGAACTTAGTTCAAACCCCATCTGCCAGGTTTTTGAATGGCACCGAACCAGCGACATAGTCCATCGGTAGAACGTTCGCTGCTGTTGCAGATGTTCATGGTTCGAATCTAGAAGGCCGCCCTGGCATTACTGAGGGCTTATTGACATTATCGAGCCGTTTAGTTTACCACCGAGCCACCTGGCCTCGGGTTTTCTATAGGCTGAGTAGGTCTCTTTCATAACCTAAATCTGCCACCAGGCTCTCTGTGGGGTGCCCCCTCCCAGCCCAAGAAACCCAGCACAGACACGAACGGTCCCTCATTGAGCTTAATATGAGTAGCGTGCAAATGCGTTGCAGCAACAATGCTGCAGTTTTAACATATGAAGCTGCGCAACATATGAAGAGTGCAACACAATTGCATGTGGGAAAATTGCTAAATTCAACTTAACCTCGTAACAAATGCTGCTGGAAACAAGAGGACCCCTTGGGATAATGGACCTAAGGGTTACATTTCCACAGTCATTAGATTAGATAGCAGACCTAAGCGTGCTGGACCATCCTCCCAGCATGGCTCGTTTCTTATTCCAACGTTTCAAGATACACGCAAACATCCTCCACCACCCCCACCCCAGCCAAGCCAGAAGGAAGCGTTTGTAAAAAAAAAAATGTAAACACAAAGGTTTAATGCACGCTTGGGTTCGGTAATGCTTTCCGAATCAATAATGTATTATTTTAGTAAAAATTTCCTTAGGCCGGTCTAAGCAAAAGATGGTGTCGTTTTGGTCAGTGTCGAATGCGCCATCACATGGCTCCAAGGATAGTACATATAAAGGTTCTCAGTTCCATTCATAAAATGAGCAAAGGGGCTCAGTAATACCTTGCTTCCATGGACGGTCAACTCGCAAACGAGGCAAGTCTCTTGCAGCAATACTTGAGTGAAATATCAAGACTGTTTTTATGACAAAATTGAATATTAAATTATGTTCCTGCTGCCTACATTTTTCATTGAAATGTTTCGTGATGTAATTCTACTCTTTAATGTAGGGAATTCAGAGGCCAGCCGATAATTCAGGCTGCAGCCCAAAATTGCAAGACTCGAGTCGATAAAATGCATGAAAACTCTGTCAGGGGTCAACACAAGCACTGTCGAGATCTGCGACTCATGGAACATGTGGAAAATAATGTGTGGTATTGCTGTGGGCCTTGATCCTTAAATGCTGCTACGAAGATCCTGGTCAAAGCCATCCTACCCGGTTAATGAACCAAGCCAGTCCACTTTTCATTGATCACAGCAACATGGCACAAATGTCTTAGTTTTTGATGACGCAACAGGTTTTCTAGGGTTTACAAACAGAACATCGATAGGCAGATAAAACAGGACTGCAATTATTTAGCAAATTCGAGGTAGCCAACTATCCACGTCATAAGTGAGTAGCATCACTGTCATTATCCACTCGTGCTATTTTTAGAATAATCATCCCTCTCGGTCCAGTAATGCTGCACCACTTGAATGGACAGTTGTTATTTTACTCAGATGGTACTTGCCATATTAATGTGGAATGCCCATGTTCCATCATCATTACTATGTAGAGCCAAGCGCCACCAAATGCTCATTCCAAAGCACACAAGACCCGTGACCTCAAGAAATCTATATGCGTAACAAATGCTGAAGTCGGCACCAATTTTTAACCAAAATTGATGATTTTTTTACCCAAGGGAGAAGCTGTACTCGATCTAAATGCCGAGGGATTTTTCCTTGTATTTGTATTTTGTGTGTTGCGTCTAATAACCGATATCACTCTCGTTGCCGGGGATCTTGTATAATCTAATCCAATACAATCAAATCTAACGGCACAGACCACAAACCCCTCTCCACAGCACGCAGCCGTTTATAGAAATGGCTTTGCGTGTGGGGGGACTGTTTCAATTAATCAACCGTGGCCACATTTCACATTATGTATCAATTTTAATGCACGAAATGGCGTAACAGAATCCTCAACATCCTTCCCTCCTTTTAAGAGCTGGTCGGCCTGTTTCCACTGGCATGTTTATTTTTGGGCTGTTGAGAGGTAATTGCGCGACTTGCTGAATGGACAAGTGTATTGTTAATGCACCTTTGTAATGCGTGCCCTGTTGCTTTTAACCCAAATTGCTCCCATGAACCAAGCTTCACCCCCCCCCCCGTCTCCGGCGTGGCTTTGTTACTTTCCACAAGCATGATTAAACCTGCTACAGAAAGCCTATCGTAGGACGCCCTCTACAGACCCCTGAAGCAGTCACGATGCAAGAGTTTCGTCGCTGACAAGAAAATAAGATGTATTCCCGTCAGTGACCGCGAATGGCCGATTTTTTTTACTTGTCCTGTTGTTTAACATCACTGAAGGATCAGCCATTTACAATGGCTATTGTACGCAACCTTTAAAATCCAAGGAAACGTTTTTGTCAGAACACCTCGTCCAACATTGCCACTGCCTACCGTCATACAACTGAGCAAGGTTTTGTTTTGGGATGACATTCATTGAAAGCTGTTCAAATCAGTAACATGGTACAGTATCAATGTAAGCAGCCATTTTTTCAGAGCCAAAAAGTCTAAGGTTCTTATATATGAATTAAACCTGCTATAAAAGGCAACTAAGTTTATTGTACTAAAAGTTATTGTATAAACTTGTTTGTATATATTTAAACTGGATTCGAAGCTTTTGTGACTGCAGGAATCTCTGGTTCTTTCGGTAAAGTGACGTAGAAATAAAGTAATAATAGAATACGTTTCGATTGCAACACAAGCAACCATCATCAGGTACAAATGAATGCAATCAGGCTATGCGTTGTTTTAACCAACTGTGTTGCATTGCATTACACTAATTTTGTTGTAAAACTTCCTATTTCTCTCTAAATTTTTCCTTGCTCGTCTGTTTCACACTTAATATCTAATTTAGCAATCTTTGGAAGAACGTAATCAACAAGGCTATGCGTTGTGTTAACTGTTGCATTACTTCATTTTACAAAATTTGCTTTCGCAAACTTCCGATGTTCTTGCTCTAAATATTGCCGTGCTGGTTTGTTTAAAGTCCGTCAATTCTCTCTTCCGGCCACTATGGTCCGGAATGCCACACAACTCTCTCATTGTCCTCTGCCCCAACCCCTCCCCCCTCTCCATTTAAGGCCTCGACAGTGGCAGTCTGTTCGTCATTCTTTGGAGCGTGGTCAGCCAGGTGGAGTGTTGGCCGGCAGCTGTGTTGTTGCATTATTTCTAAGTTTACCGTTTGTTTTTTTCTCATTCATTCTTACCTGATGGTTGCTTGTTGCAATCGAAACGTCGTATTCCATTATTTGATTTTATACGTGACTTTACCAAAATAACCAAAGTATATATTTTAGTAGTTCACAGCACATGAACCATCAAATTAGTGAATATTGAGACTCATCAGGAAGCTACTTCAGTCCTTCCAGGGCAAAGGAAAGCATTACAAAGCACTGCACCACACCAACTTATTCGAAATTAATGCCAGTCATTTTTATTTAAAACTTGTGGCTACGGCATGGAACAAAACGTAAAAGATAAATTAGCCTGGATGGAGTCCAGCTTTCACGAGTCTTCATTATAAGACATCACCCACAAAATGTGAACACAGGACATTACCGCTAATAGGCACCTTTCAAAAACTGAGATTTGCACTGCATGTTTAGCTTTGCCGCAACAAAGCTGTAACAGCAGCAACTGATAAGGACATGACTCGACAATACCCTCAGCCAACTTGCATCCTGATGAAACATGCAAAAGTGGAACATTTATGACAGCTTTGTTAGGATAACCTCAAATATTGTGCAAGCCCAACAGAGGACATGTACAACATTTTCATCATTGTTACCAGCCTCCACATATTTAGACTTGCCTCACTTTAAAACACTCGTGCTGGTGAAGTGATAACGCCAACAATTTCACCTTTATCAAGGATTATAAATACACCACAGGTCTGCGATCCGACTTTGCAACCAGTGTCCTCAGGCTGTTAACATAACTCAATATAGTTCATTATACGTCTTCACAGACTGGACTCAAGCACCCAGCATCTGCAAACGATTTTTCAAGTGCTGAGAAAAGACAACTGCCACACCTTGTGCACATAGCAGCTCGGGACACCGCGCACTACAGTATATGTGTTGTAGTGAACATCTGCACTCGATGGCAGCACGTTTGAAAAAGTGCTCGATGGAAAGGCGTGCATGTGTGTGCACGAGTCTAATTACCGCACAGATGATCCGCTTTAGCAACAAGCTGGGACACCACACTATAATCTCCTCGCATCAGCAGCAGATTTCTTTTCACGCAACGAATACTCGCGCTCAGTAGAGCGACCTATGAACTTGGTGGGAAGAATCTTGGCAAACCAGCATTGGTCAAAGTGCCGGCTCTTTACTTGCAAATAAATGGAAAGCTCCGTTCTCTTGCCAGTCGCTCATACGTGCTCAATTTTATACATGTGACCTCCAATGCTGCTGATGAGCGTCTCACACACACTATCTGCAAACATCATTAAAACATTTCACCACGCCAGAAACAAACCATGGAGACCTTATTTAAAAAAAAAACTTTAGAAGACCAACGGATCTCTCGACTAATCCGTTTCGGATTGAATAACCCTCATGCAGTTAATTGCCAAACATCACTTTCACCACAGCTGCCAAATGCAGCTACATTTTACCCCACATATTTGTCATCCAGGTATCTGTATCTCTGAACAAACACAATTTTGTTAATACAAAAAATAAGCTTTGCATTTTGCGCTGCTCAGTTGCATGGAGCTGATTGTTTTGCGTCAACGCAGAATAGCAACACAGCCCAACATCAACCAACCACTCAAGTCTGAATAATGAAAACTCAGTCTGCCCTGCAGGAAAATAGCTGAATCGACTGAGTTCATCCGATGAAATAAAAATACATAGCATGGACTGAGCAACTTAGGGTAGCCTTTAAAAGCGGGGGGGGGGGTAAAATGCTTCAGCCTCCATGCCTGTTCAAGAACTACACTTCTGGCCTAAAAAGACAGATGGTAACACTAAGAAAACCAGGCTCCGCTTCTGCATCTACCTCGACAAGCAAGCGCAGGCACGGCATTCGCCTCCCGCGTTTCTCCTGCACCGCAGCGCTCAATCTCATGACTGCAGTGTCGTTAGCACGGGTGCAGGCGGGAGCGCCGCGGTCAAAACGCTTTGGCCCGCCCCTCTTGCCCACGTGTGCCTGCCCGCTTGCCCTCCTCCCTCAGGAGCACCAGCGGCGGCTTTAGAAGTCTGCGTCGAGCGTGAACTGGTGGTCGACCTTAGACATGACGCCCATTTTCTGGTACTCGGCCACTTTCTTCTCGAAGAAGTTGGTCTTCCCCTCCAGCGAAATATTTTCCATGAAGTCGAAGGGGTTCTCTGCACGGTACACCTATCGGAAAATGCGAGGACCAATAGTTAATATGAGTGCACTCTCGTTATTATGTGCACGTCCTCGTTTTACTGCCACATCAACGAAGAGGTATAACCTCAACTATCCACATTCAACTGCTCAACGTTTAAAAATACAGGTTAACAGTACAATAGCAAGTTAACATTATGAGACCTCCTTTGCCAGAAACAAGATATAGGAATAGGTTTTACCCTTTTAACTGGCACAAAAACTGACACCTTTATTCAAGGCATCATGTTTGCAAAAACCACAACACAAGCAGTCAGAAGGCAAACAAAAAAGACAACTCTGATAATAATATGCACTGTCCTTGAATTTGATTGGTCCACACCCGAGACAGCTTTTCTTAGAGCCTAGTCTCCATTGGTGTTGGACCAGAAGACGCCAAAAGGCGTACAACTCAAAAACAGCGCACTATCAGAGTATTGAGGGCTCGGGGTGAGCATTTACATTATGAGACCTCCTGATAGTGCGCTGTTTTTGAGTTGTACGCCTTTTGGCGTCTTCTGGTCCAACACCAATGGAGACTAGGCTCTAAGAAAAGCTGTCTCGGGTGTGGACCAATCAAATTCAAGGACAGTGCATATTATTATCAGAGTTGTCTTTTTTGTTTGCATTCTGACTGTTTGTGTTGTGGTTTTTGCAAACATGCCTTGAATAAAGGTGTCAGTTTTTGTGCCAGTTAAAAGGGTAAAACCTATTCCAATAGCAAGTTAAGTTATGCACTTTTTTAAGATAAAATAATCAAGTCACGTACAATTTATATTTGAAAATTATAAATAAATTTGGGGAACGAAAGGCACTTAGTGTTGCGCTGAGCTTGTATCAGTTACACCCTTGGTGTTCGTAATGCGTATGCATGAAACTATTATAATAAACTTTCAACCAATCACAAATATGGTAATGTGTACTCTTCACATAGGGGCTCCCCAGTATCAGTTTGCCTGTACACACGGCTATTAGCTTCCACAACTACATAACATAGTCTCACTGGACCAAAATTTAAGAGTAGCAGTTTCCAACTGTTCAACCTGAGAATCGCCGTTAACCCTCAAAATTCAATGATTGAATATTTTTTTATTAATACTCTTAATTTGCAAGTTCCGTGAACCACTTTCCATGGCCCTGTGGATCACCAGTAGCCCACAAGTTGGAAACTCCAGAGAGAAGGGACAAAATAAAAATGTGTTGGTCAACCCTTAGACCTCAGAAGAATACAAATGTGATATTGAGAAGTTCACAAACTTCATCCAGCAACCCAACACCCTTTCCTTTGCTCACCTTGGCACAGCCGAGTTCGCCAAGCAGCCTGTCGGCCACAAACTCGATGTACTGCTTCATGAGGTCACAGTTCATGCCGATAAGGTTGACGGGCAGCGCATCCGTCAGAAACTCCTGCTCAATGATCACGGCATCCATCACAATCTGCTGTACACGCGCCTCCTCAGGCTTGTGCACCAGGTGGCGGAACATGAGGCATGCAAAGTCGCAGTGCAGACCCTGCGCACGGAAGACGAGGAAAAAACGGGCAAGAGGGAGGACGAGACAGACATGGAGACACAGGCAGTGATTACCAACTAGCCAAGTCCGATTTGCATACCAAGCTCCTGCCAAATCAATGGATTTCACAAGACATTTCAGTTCTCTTTGATTCAAATAAATATTTTTTGTCTTGTCTGTACTGTTTCATTCTGTCTAGTCCACTGTCACATTTGTCTTATATGTATTGGAAGCAATTGAAATTACATGCAATATTGAAAGAATGCATATTAAGTGCTGTAATGCACGCTCGTTTTTGTCTCATTGCCACACTGTTACGAGTTTTCTATATTTAATCATTAGTGCTATCTTGTCAAGTCTCGTTCGTACCGTTGTACTTTTGTCATTGATTCCATTAAATCCAAGTTAATTCTGAACCGTCTGCAATATTACATAAATAGTAAGTTATGAACAGATGTATATACACAAAACGATAAAGAACACCCATATAAATTGGATATGAATAACACCCATAAAGCCTTAACACAATGTAGGAGCAAGTGCTGTTAAGCGAGCACTTACTAACGGCCGGCACACGAGGCGGGTGGGCCAGCATCACGCCCGGCCGCCTGTCTGCCTAGTGGCGATGTTAACACACCGCACCAGGTACTAATTTGAGGCCGAGTCGACCTAGGGGAGGCCCAGCACCAGTTTAGATAATATAAATCACGGATGTTGACCGTGAGCGGGAATCGAACTCGGCCACCGTGTTCATAGCACAGCGTGCAAACCGTTACACCATTGCTCCCCATATATATATACATACACACAGAGCAGTGACAAATAACACAAACTTAAAAATGAATATCATTAGCACCACAAATACCAAGGAACATTGTGCTTCCTCGGTGTTGGCAAGGGCGTCAGAATGTAAAGTACTGCACCACTATTACTTAAACACAGCTATCGTGATGGGACGTTATACAGAGCATAGTTCATCTTGCTTGCACTTTAAGGTCTTCAGCTCGTGTGCAAATAACGTGCGAGGGATTGTGCTTTGGCAGATGTGCTCTGATCATGTCAGCACATACAGGCACAGACCCACGCATTTGCCCACACGCAAAGGAGGTGCTCACCTCGTCACGGCTAATGAGCTCATTGGAGAATGTGAGGCCGGGCATGAGACCACGCTTCTTCAGCCAGAAGATGGAGGCAAACGACCCCGAAAAGAAGATGCCCTCGACAGCAGCAAAGGCCAGAACGCGTTCACCTGCACAGTACACATGGCACAATAAATGATACGAGCTCTCACTTCCACTCTAAAAAGGTCTCCCTCTCAAAGGAGAATGTATGTGCAAGGGCCCTCTGCTGGTTGAAGAGATTGCTCAATAACGGAGCTCTGGAAAGCAAGATGCACCTCAAAATTATGCTTGATGTGAATGTTCTACTAATCTGGTCACATTCACACACACCCACTGGATTATAATAACCTAGAGTGGGATAAGAATCAATTGAAGAGATCTCAGATCCAATTGTGACATTCCAGTTCATTCGTGTTACGACAAGACACAGAGCAGCATAATTTGGAAATAATTGTGGGGATAAAAGGATGATGTGGATATAGATAAATCGAGAGCCTTTGATGGGGATATGGTGAGGAGTTTATGTTTGGGGAGAGCACGGGTCATACCGAAGGTGGCATTACTGTCGGAGATCCAGCGGAGCGCCCAGTCTGCCTTCTTCTTGACACACGGCAGAGTCTCGATGGCATTGAATAGAAACTCCCTACCCAGGCAAAACAACTAAATCAGCACATGCACCACACAATACACACACTGATATCCAGTTCTTGGGAATAGAGGGTGTTTCATTAAGCTGAATGTGGTGAAGTTTCTTTACTCCCGCATGAGCGATACCTTTCTCCAGGTTACCTGGTTTTCTGCTGCATGCTAGATGCTCAGCGAAAAGGAACCAACCAAAAATTTAATTAAAGAACCCGTTTAAAATTCTCGATACTCCAAGGCTTTTCTGGATAATTTACATCATTTTTTCACAAGGCATTTGTTCATGCTGGTGGTCGCAATGAAGATGAGGGCTTGATTAACGTTTCGCAGAGCGTTCCTCTACCTCTGGGTAGGGTCCTTGATGTACGTGTCGATGAGAAGACTGTACATCTCCGAGTGGATGTTCTCCATTGCGATTTGGAAGCCATAGAAGCATCGTGCCTCTGTGATCTGCACTTCCTGGCTGAAGCGCTCCACCTGGTGCCAAACAAGGCAAGGAAAAATATAAAACAGCAATTTTTTTTTACGCACCGCATTTTTGGTTGACACTTCTCGTACAACAATTTTGCAGTAAGAGTTTTTTGGCAGGCAAAAAGTCTAATCACCAACTGACCAGATTCTCATTGACAATGCCGTCGCTGGCAGCAAAAAACGCGAGGACGTGGGAGATGAAGTGTTGCTCCTCTGGCTTCAGCCGCTCCCAGTGCTGCTGATCTTTGGACAGATCCACCTGAAGGCAATAGCAGGATGAGAAACTGTGAGCTGGAGTAACCAACACAAAAAAAAGACCTTGAGCAGCTGAATCACAGACATTTGGTGAAATACATGATGGAGAAAAAGCACATTTTCAGCAAAGGTTACCGATATTAACATTGCACTCTGCTTTCATCTGCAATTCAGTAAGTTGGGCAACTTAAAAAGACATTGGTTGCAGGTTCAATTAAATTACAGGCTCTTAGTGCCATCAAGAGGAATGTTCTGATTTTTTTGCCAGAATAGTCCTATGCATAAAATATTGAGTTTACAGTGCGGGATCTTAAATACATGGGAATGGACAGGTGAGTTGGGTTGATGCTGTTGTTAGAACAAACAAGCAGAGTATTATTAGGTGTGGTCTGACCGGGTTGGCGATACCAGTGTTAGTCAAGTACAATAAGTCTCCAGAGTTTTAATCCTTAGGAACCATGTGTAAACCAAAACGGCAACTTTCTAACTTTAAACATGGCCAAGCACTCATCAGTGAGCCATGAACCTGGTAACAGACGAGCCCAAGTCCTCCGATTTTTAAAAAAATTATAGCCTGAACCCATAAACTAATGTGTATATGGTGAACTCAAATTATGCATTAATTGTATGATTAATTGAATGTTGGCTGAAAGCATATTCCACCAACATTTGGAAAAACAGAAGCCAAACTTTCATTCCATCAGGCCTAGTTGCCGTTTTACATTACACATTTAACATAAAAAAACAATTCTGCCAACGAACGACCTGGGCCCAACCAAGGGACACCATACCTCCTCAGCTGTCCAGAAGGAAGCCTCTGCCTTCTTGTACATCTGCCATATGTCTGGGTACTCGATGGGGAAGATCACAAAGCGGCGAGGGTTGTCCCTCAGCAGAGGTTCCTCCTGGGCACGGGGGTCTCGCAACCGTACAACGCCGGCCTGAGGGGGTACACACACGCACACCTTCACCGACGTGCACCACACTGTTTCACAAAGAAGCACCATCCACATAAAGATGCTCCAAATATTATTTTAACAGTTGGGGAAAGTGCCGATAGAGAGCGCTTCTTAAAGCCGGCACAATACACGAGGGTATGATGGCAAGTACACCTTCCAGCTACCTGTTTGGCTGTAAGTGATACTATTTATCCACTGCACCAGGTCATTATTTAAGGTCCAGTCTACCTATACACTGGTTCAGATAGGTCACCGTGAGTGGGAATCGAACTCGGACGGCTAGGTCCATAGCGCAGTGTGCCAAGCACCACAAATCAAAACACGCACCTTCACCAACATCCACCATACCTTCAACATGGACGCACGAACCACTCAACCTTCACTAGCAAGCATGTAGGCCAATAGCCACTACATACAAACGATCGTGCAGACAAAACCACTTGAAATACAATACAAACTATTGCTCGTAAACATTGAAAACAGACCAAACCCGACTCCTCAGCTTGCTCAAAGTTGTAAAATTATCTAGAGTAACAACCCCTCCCCTTACACACATTGAGATGCCACCAACCACCAAGTTGAGCCTTATCACGTTTAAAAAAAAATCTTCGAAAAAAATTCAAATCAGACACCACATGCACCTGATCTATAGTAAAACGTAGCATGCATTGTCTACTTAAAGCAGGACACGTGATCGGCTATATACATTTAGACAAGCGCTCGTTTGTAATGCAGTCCTGTGCGTTATTGGTAATAATCATCAGGCGCGTGCGCTGTGTAATTTCACTTGTTCTTACAACGGAGATTGGTAGACATGTAGATTCGGACCTACCATCAGCACCACCTGCTCAACATCTGTACACAAGCTTCTATGCGCCCGCACACACAAACACCATCTCATTCCATGTCCCCTACTGTATGCGCCACACGTGTGGCTTATAAATAAATCTGTATGCTAACGTAAATGCACTGTACGGGGCCAACACTTGAGCAATGTGGCCACAAGGTGGCGCCCTCGTCTCACTAAAAGCACCGCTTGCGCAACGCCAAACTTCGCTCCTTTATGTAACGACAGCCGATGACCAAGGGAGAGAGCCTAAATGCCTCGAAGCATTGCCAGCATTACGCTACCGCAAGCGATAGGTTTTGTCATGAGAGCGTTAGCCGCATCACACGTTTGGGTGCGTCAAAAGTTGGTCCCTGTACTTGAGACGACCTCTCAAGAGGGTTCCGATTTAAACGTACCGCGCAAACACCAGTCACAATTTTTTTGGAATTTTTCAACGAGGTTCAACTCAATACTAACCCAACGCCTACCGCCAATGTTGCTATGAAGAGCAAGGTAAATTAAACATCACGAATAGAGGGAACACAGGGGGGAGGGCCCTGTAGACGGCTGATGCCCGTCAACAGAAGGGCCAAGCAGCTGGCCGAGTGATACGAAACAAGTCTCTTTTGTTCGCCTTGGGACTTCCCGAGACCCCCCTCTCACACTAACCCCACTCCCCCTTCAATCACCTCGGTCGTATCCATTTTCTCTCCAGCCTTTGCATCACCCTGGACGGCGACGGGAAGGTTCTGCGAGACAAACCAACAAAAGGGATGTTGCTCAACACAACCCGTATCTCCATTGCAGCATGAGGCGGGGTGGTTAAACCCAGCTCTTAATACATTCCAGCCACTCAATCCACCGCCAATGGATTGTCTTCCCCAGCACATGTAAAAGTATGTTTTTTTAACCATACTTCACCACAATGGTTAATGGGGGTTTATAAAACGAGGACAAGCCTGGTTGTGAATCACATACATGCATGTCGCTGTATTCACAGCACAGTGCGCTGTCAACTACCATGTTACTACTTATTTCTTTTAAATAGATGGCTCACACAGCAGCTCCTAGTTTTCTTGCAAGAGACCAGCTGTCAATGGGGCTCTGTGGGGCATTAAAAAAAACTCGTCTGGAAGTTAAACATGGAACGTACAATACAACTTGAATGTAGAATCATGCAATCATGCTCGTCATAATCACGTAACGAGGCAAACCCATTGTTTTGGAACTGCTTATTACAGAGCATGCCGGGGACAGGCAATGGAAGATGTCCAAACTGCAGAGTAACGTACCCAAAACAAACCCCAGAATATACCGTACAGCTTTAATAACTTGCATCTAAAGCATGTTGAACTAGCAAATGTGCAATGTACAGTTATTGTATACCTAGTACCAATGACTCTAAATGCACTCAATCCTGTCATGTCGAAGAAGCCAAGCAGGCCGAGCCTGGCGAGTTCTTTAATGAGTGACCATCAAGACTTGTGAGCTGCCCTGGTGGATTTGTCCAAATATAATCATGAATCCCTTGCGAAATTCTAGAGACTGCAAGGCTTTCCTGTGCAATTACACAACACGAATTTCGTTCAAAGCATTTAAAATTACAATTATTCCTGCTCAAAACACGGTTGTATCAAACGTGCACGCTAAACTGGTTAAGAGGCGACCGAAACGCGAGTTAAAACTCTGGGTTATCAGCCGCGTCAGATCAACAGCTCTCTCCTGCCAATAAAACCCAAACGATGCATTGCGGCCTGTTTTTTTTTCTCTTAGCGCCAGTGTAAAACAACCAACTTTTCTGGAGGTACGTTGCAAGTCACAAGTGCATTTGGGAAATAACCAAATTGTATATATATATTTTTTTTTAAATAAAAATCCGTCCAATGCTTCATTACTGTCGAGTTTGTGCGTCTGTGTGCGTGTGTGTGCGCGAAGAGGCCGTGTCCCCGACGTGGCCACAGTGAGAGCCTTGCCGGGCCCCCACGGCCGTAGAAAGGCCCTCACCCGCTCCTGACTGTCGCACAGAATTCTCCGTGCGGCCCGCGATGCCAGGGCCTTGGAGTTGGGACTCCGCATCTGCTGGGGTCCAGGGTCAAAGGAGAGATGCGGGGTGGACACACAGACGCACGGGGAAAGAGACAAAGGACGGGAGAGAAGAGTGAGAAAGAGACGAGGGGAGAAATAAACACGAAGTGAAAAAAAGTCCTTCGATATACCATTTAATTGAACCTATTGACGTAGCTAGCCCAATTCGTTTAAAATAACTCGCATCCATCAAATAACACCCATCTCTAAAGCAAACATGTAACGTTTCGGGCAATGGCCCTTGTTCGTGTACCGCTACCAACACAGCATACTTTTTAATGCAACATTTTTTTTACCAGATTAGATAAGAGCAATCTGGATACTCAAGTTGCATCCGACATCTCCACAGCAACTAGAGTTGATCAATAAAGCACTGCACGCTTATAAATTAAACATACAATATATGGCAGGCTCCGGAGTACCAGACACGTCAATTATAAATAATTTGTGTACAAGGCAACAAATCAGCTATATACTTCTTAGCATTCTGGACACTCATTACAAGCCAATGCATTGTCACGAACACAAAGGGCAGCGATCAAACCACACACACACAGAAAAAATAAAGCCACAAAAACCAAATAACCACAATAACATAGGCGCATTTCCCCTCATAAGTCGCATCAATTGTATCCGTTGTCAAATTAAACCAAACAACAATTGTTTAATAGAGTTCTCGCCCGTTGCTCGCGACTCCCGCCAAACGAACCGTCGCGCCCTTTTCACGAGGGGTCGACGCCTTCTTGACCGGTGAGACCGTGTTCTCCTTGTTGGCGGCGAACACCGTTGAGGAAGACATCGTTTAGGCGACGGTGTCTATTTCGTACGACTGGTAAACTTTGAAGCCTTTAAGAGGTCGTTATTGTTAAAAACTGATGAGACTTCGGTCGGAGCGAGTCGGCGCGAGGTGATTCCAACTGCAGGGTCCCGCGCTTTGCTTTTCCCGCGCGGAGGTGACGTCATTTATACGCGACGTGACGTCGCGCGAGGGGCGTGGTCGCGTGCGGGATCATGACGTCACCACGCCGGAGTTGCGCGGGCCGTAGCACTTTACAGCGTGGGGAGTATTGTTCAGCATGTATTGCACAAATGCCTTTTTTTCTGTGAATAAAATGAAAATAATCACGTAACTTAGTAGTTAGAGTTGTTTTAATTCAGGAATAAATACACATTAAGGCTTGTCCCCTTGTAATGAACGTTTCTCATTATATAAATATTTCACAAGCATCCCTGGTGGGTGAAGTGGTAGAACCCACATTGGGGGTGATTGTGTAATTGATCGGTTGCTTTCGGCGGGAGATTCATTCAAATCAGCTGTTCGGTAACATTACTTACAATGGTGTTAAACTATGCTCGGAAATGAAACAATGTATTTAAAATGATGAACATTATGTGCGTATAATGCTCTAATACGAAGCGAGGTTGACGTTCAACGGGCAATCTATCAGTTCCTGATGCATTAAAGTTGAAATGTATACTATAACTTGTAAACCTTGTGCGAATATATTGTGTATAACTGTACAGTACAGCTTTTCTATTAACGATACAATAAACTATATTAAAACCGAGTGCCTATTACATTACTATCGGTATACTTGTGCCGTAGAATAGTTAACACGCTCAAAACTACGTTGCGTGAGTAGCGATATCAATCATTTGCAAGTGTTCCAAAACACGGAACATAATTTAACATTAAACATTATTAACAAGATTGTTTCGTCAAACTTATTACAAAGCATCATCTGTAGTCGCTGTATCATCTGTTTTGAATTGTATTCGGTCAGTAAATATCCTTGAGGCCCAAGGCCTTTAATCTTGATATTTACAGAGATAAGTTGTCTAAATTAAGGGTTGTGCAAACAGCGTTTTAGTCATGCTGTAATTGTGATCTGTACACATTCTAAATATTTTATACTAAGTTATTAAACTATTCCCTATACCGAGGAAATATACTGTACAGCCTAAGAGCAGCGCGTATATAAAAACCCTGCCACGTTACACAACTTTAATTCCAACTCGTCATGGACTTTGTATTATCATCCTTTTAACGCGATTTAATAACAGCGATTGGACTTGAGTACGTTACTAACAGCTCACTTTTGTCATTCTACGCGTTACATTTTTTTTAATTTTTTAGGCGCCAAAAAAACCGTACTCAAAGTAAATATTTAAACGCCAAAATAAATATTTAACGTCGCAGCTGTCGGGACAAAGGCCCCCCCGTCTCTGTGGGTTTGCCGCTCCACCGCTGGATGAGCCATTCGCTATGCCGGGCAAGTCATGCGGGGGGACTATTTGACCATACTTCGTGATGCTCAGCATGGCCTGGTGAGAGGGCGGACAGCAAAGACAAAAGATCCCTCCACTCATGTAGCCTGAACGGACTGTGGGACCGAGTGCTGTTAGCGAGCACTGTACTGCTAAGGGCCGGCACGAGGAGGCGGTCAGCCAGCACCACGCCCGGACGGACGCCTGTTATCGCCCGAGTGGCGATGTTTACACGCCGCAGCACCGGGTACTCATTTGAGGCTAAGTCGATCTAAGTGAGGCTCAGGATCGGTTTAGGTAAGTCACTGGTGTTGACCGTGAGCGGGAATCGAACCCGTGGACGTAGCGCAGCGCAGCTAACCGCTTCACGACTGCGATGCAATTGTGGTGGCGGGTTTAACGACACGTAGGTAGAAAATAAATCACTTTTATTATCTACCTGCGTGACTTTACCGAAAGAACCAAAGAGTATGGATTCCTGCAGTCACGAAAGCGTCAAATCAAGATTGACGCGTCTAACCCAAACAACCCCCCCCCCCCCATGCATTATGAATGCAACTGTGTTTGCGTGTGCCGTAGCAGCACAACATGGAACAACCACGTTGTGCCTGGTGCGGTCACCCATCGGAGGCACCGAAACCCTGATGAGCACACGGGGATTCGACACCGCGTGGCCTCTACCCGCGTTGTGCGAGAACCGTGGGGCCGGTCGAACTCGCAGGCTGCACAGATTCAATTCGATCCCATAAGATCGCGATGCAATGCTTCGAATTGTTGTTGTCCATCGTCAAGACAGCGGATTGCAATAATTAGGATTGGTAGAACATGTAAATGAGACAAGATTGTGCGAAAATAGAAATTTAGTACAGTATATAGTCGGTGGGAGTGAATCGTGTTACACGCCAATAACGGATGGAATCGTGCGCATGAGATTCGATTACTGGTCGTTACAATGAGGACTGAATGAGAAACCAGGCTTATAGTTTGATCAATGGAGTGACAAGCGTTACACGAGAAGAGGCGCATACCAGACGGTAACGCGGACATCAATTGGTTCTTGAATTGCATCGTGGAAAAAAAATGGACAACTCCGGAATCGCCAGGAGTGAATCTACGCTTAAGCAAGACCTCCCTCCCAGTCTCAAGACAAAGCCTCCGATTCGCGAACACTCGTTGCTGGCCTTTGTGAAACACGTGGACAGGGCATCTTCAGAGCAGACTGCCAATTGCTGAGATGACGTAAACTTAAGTTACATAATAAACACATTCACTGACAAATGGGTTCCTTTCATGGCTGTTCGAATGTTTATTAAAATTTTCGTTAATTTCGGTGATTCGAGAACCGCAGTGGCGAGATGTTATCGCCCTCGTCTCGGCAAGAGGCGATCGTCGGTTCGACCCCGACGCCTGTATATTTAAAGCTTGGATGTTCTCGCGGATTTCTTCTCGGGACCCACTGTCTTTTCCAGTCACAAGCTAATCATTCAGCCATTTCAATGCTAAATTATATGCTAATTCCTTTGTCAAGGCGCTTTGTTCCTCTCACACAGCTTAAAGGCCGTATCTGAACGTGGCTCTTTCACTCCAGCGCTGTCCTACCAGAGTCTCGCCCCCCTTCACCTGATGAAGGCCGCTTGTGTTGTGGCCGAAACGTCGTGAGAATATTATTGTTATTTTATTTTATCAATTTATTATTTTATTATCATTCTACGTGACTTTACCGAAAGAACCAAAGAAGATGAATCATTGCAGTCACGAAAGCTTTAAATCGAAATTTTCCCTCCATACTTTGAAACGTGCGTTTAGATTACTTGGCTGCGATACATTTCCACAAACACGCTTTGCTGCGCTATTTGTGGCCAAGTCGTTCTGAAAAATAGGTCATAGCTCTGCGAGTTTTACCTGGTAAATACGTTTATTTTACGTTTGTTTATGTTAGCTGGATAACTGAAATACATTCGTGAAAGCTAAAGCTACGAATTACGGATACTGTGGCACGTATTCCTTAGCCGTGGCTCAATTCAGCACCATATCCTTTTACTGTATATTTGTGGAGGCGTATTATGTTATCTTCATTCACATGCGTGAGTAGTGACCAGCTCACGTCCTTGATGTTCAGTTCAATATAGTACATGATTTTAAGAAATTAAAATTCAGCAATGTTTAATTAATTTCCACCCGCTTGGTGCACACCATATCAGTGTCACGGGATGGAAACCGTGGTGGATAGTGTAATTGGGTATATAAATGTTTGCACGAGGCCATACGATGATGCAATTATATCGATGACCAGCATGCGTCAAATGACTCAAAGGACCGGCAATGATAGTGAAACCAAGGACAATAGAACTAATGCATAATTAAGACGCGATATTCAATTCCTTAAACTTCAACCTCGCTTATTCGGGGGAGCACACTATTTCCAACATCATTGCCCGGGGAAACCCTCATCCAGCCATGGATTGATAATGGTCGATTGCCATCAGACAAGATTATATACATGCACTGGCAGAGCCAGGGTGGCACGTGCCCCCCCCCCCCCCCCGCAATGATCCGATCGAAATCCCTAATTTCGATCGGATCATTGGGGTTTATTAGTAATAAATCGGCATTTTGCGACCCCCACTGCCACCGTGTAGCATATTATTATGTGCCAGGGACCGAGATGATAGGATAATAGTCTGAGTCCATAATTGGCAATAAGTAACAGCAAAGCAATTGACTCAGAATTGTGTGCAGTTGCGTATACATTACACGACTTCCCTGAAGGCATCAACACCTTCAGCGAGCGCGATGCCGATCACAACGCGGTTCGAATTCGACCCTCGATCGATGGCTGCGCCATCGCCGCACACGCGTCGAATAAAAAGCAAGGGACAAGTCCTTACTATATTTTTTAATTGCTGGAGGGGTTGCCCCCCTACCTGAAAATCCTGGCTTCGCCATTGTATACACGTTTCTTAAATGCATTTTCACCTATCTCGATAGGCTATAAACGGGTTAAAGACTTGCAGACATATAAGATTTTGAATTCACATTCTCAGCTTGGCGCAAATCATTACACCAGCGTCACTGGATATTCCATTCTTTCGGGAAGCCTCCGGTTGCTCATTGAAAGAAAGTCTTCCTACCCACCAACTTTACACACACAAAGGGCATTTGCCCTAAATGTTGGTGATATTTTATCGTGAAGTGTCAATATGACCAATGATTTAACCATCCGTCTCTCGCACTCAATCTAGGAATACCTGGCTAAAATTGGTCTTGGACATCACGAGGGTGAAAAGTGGCCAAGTGCGAGTGGTTTTATCCATACCACATGCCTCGTGTCAGTTTAAATAGGTGCTTGAAAACAGAACAATGTGCATAGCTCCATTTTTTGAATCTCTTCGTATGGGGCACAAATTCCACACCATCTTTTTAGCCACACTAGAAAACTTTCCACCAAGACACGGCTAGAAATGGACAGTCTAAACAAGTCAGATCTTTAAAAAGGGCTCATTTCAGTAATCTATACTCTTTGGTTCTTTCGGTAAAGTCACATATAGAATATTAATAGACCGCGACGTTTAAATCGCAACAAGTGACCGTCTTCAGGTGAGAGAGAGAAAGCTACTGAGACAAGGTCTTCTATAGCCCTGAGATGGGTGCAGCCTCAGGGTTAGAGGGCGGGGCTAGAGATGGTCTCCCTGGAGGCTGCCGAAGTGGCTATTGTAGCGAGAAATTAGCATGTCAATGCATGAGCTTAGTGTCACAGCATCGGTGACCGAGCGAGAAGGATATCCAGCCCATCAATACAAAGACATCCAAACCTAATAATGCAACTCGGAGTCAGCTAAAAATCGCAGGATGGAAACACAGCAGGTTAAGACTTTACCTCGTTAATCAACGTCCTTCCAATGATTGCTCAATTTGTGCCCATCTTCTCGGTTGAAGTTGTGTACGTGTTTAAATATTTAGATGGCTTCCTGAACAAATCTGACGATAGCCAGTGGGTTTGCAGAGTATCTTCATCTCGGAAAATTCTATTTCGTGTGTGCCCAGCATTAAAACAATGATCAGCAACGGCAGAGGTATTGGTCCCACCGTGCTTCAGATCTGCCTTGTGTTTGCGAACACGGTCCGAGACCTGTCGTTTCGTTTCCAAGGCAGATCTGAAGCACGGTAGGACCAATACCTCTGCCGTTGCCGAGTACACTGTGGGCACACACGAAATTGATTTTTCCAAGACGAAGGTACTCCGCAAACCCACTGGCTATCAGAGATTTGTTCATGAAGCCAGATATATAAAGACACAACTTCAACTGACAAGATGGGTATAATTTGAGCAGTAATTGGAAGGATGCGATTTACCAGGTTGTCTTAACCTGCTGTGACGTTTCCATCCTTCCTGCGATTTTAGCCGACTCAGAGTTGCATTATTAGGTTGGATGTCTTTGTATTGACGGGCTGGAGGTCCTTCTTGCTCAGTCACCGATGCTGCGACATACTAAGCTCGTGCATTGACATGCTAATCTCACTATACAGCCTCTTCCACAGCCTCAGGGAAATCATCTCTAGCCCCGCCCTCTTACCCTGAGGCTGCATCCATCTCAATCCTATATAAGACCTTGTCTCAGCAGCTCTCTCACCTGAAGACGGTCGCGTGTATTGCGATTGAAACTTCGTGATCTATTAATTTTCTATCTACGTGACTTTACCGAAAGAACCAGAGTATAGATTCCTGCAGTCACGAAAGCTTCAAATCAAGATTAATCTATCAACCTTCAATACGAGTATTTCCACACAAAACCACCATCAAGATAACAGCTTTACTTACATTTTATTTAGATTAAAGGTGAAATTGCAAGGCGCAAAAACGTAGTGGGTAAAACGAAACTTTTTTAAAACGAGGGGGTCACTGGCTGCCATGAACATGGCTGAGTGTACCAAAATAAATTCCACCCTTCAGGATCCACAACCTTTTTGGGATGGCAAAACATTAATTTGAAAAAAACTATCCTGAAGGCGCTTAAACAAATGTGTTCACAATTAGGAATAAAACAGTCTGTACCCATAGACTGGCTAATGTAACACAGCATTCCATCGCGTCAACAAGCAAAGATAAAAAATACTTAATTTTCTAAGACACCCGTCATTTCACGCTGCAGAAAACATGACAGATTGCAACTAGGAGATAAATCCCTCCACTGGTCACCATCAAAAAAAGTGGATCACAAAACTAAGATGCAATGCGCACCTGCATGCAGTGGGGAAAAAAAAGGCACTGCGTCTGCTGTAGCAGTTAAACAAGAAGCCACTAGGAGCTTGAAGCAACACCAGACTCATGCCTTCTCCTTGGCAGAATGGAGCGGCAAACGGTGAGGTCTGTGCAAACTCTTAAAAAGTGGTGATGCTCTTGGGCAGTGTTATGGCAATCGGCAACGCATTTAAGATTAACAGAAACTTGACAATGCAAAGGGCAGTGACAGAGTTATCTTGCCAATGGAAACGGTGTGCTTGGAAGGTATGATACACTAACAATTTGTTCCATAATGCAAACCTCAGGTCATGCGATTAATAATTTAATTGCCAGTTGATAAATGGTGCGACTGTCTTTAAATCGCCCAAGTGGATGATGACCAAAACACTGGCAGCGACTACACTTCAGTTCACATGGCTCAAGTATTCACATCCACCACCCCTGGTCCATCCAAGTACAAGTTACTTCAAACCTTCATAGTCAATGCCAGTGCATACTTTATTATAAATTGATGATAGCAAAAACTGGAAGGAGTGTCCTTAGATTGGAACGGACCACTGGCAGTCACTGTTTGGTAGTATAACCCAGTAGGCTACATCGAAAGGTTATACTGTATGGACACATTTTGGCGGAAAAGCAAATGCTTTTCCATGCCATCGAACATATTTTTCAGAGTGGAATCATACAATTACACGGGCTCCACACAGACTAGCTAATATGCACACAAATGTTAAGCAAAGAGTAGTATACTCATTTCGCCTGACAATTGACGTGGAAAAGGCTCCTTTTTAAAATGACACTGATAAACGCGATCGCTTAAAGCCAATAGGGTCTTGTATCTGAACTTCTCGAACAATGCAGTCCGGATCAACGCCAACAAGAGAACCGCTGGATCTCACTTCACCTGATCCTTAACGCTGCACATGGGTGCATTGGAGCAACCATTAGCAGCAGTCACCAGCACGTGTCTTGCAAATGTTTCAGCCAAGGTGCCCAGACTAAAGAGTTCAAAGCTTCCGACTGGTAGGCCGAGAGGTCTCAAGTCCCAGGGAGTTTTGTTTCAGACACCATGAGACGTTGCAGATTTGATGAAATCGGCACTCGCTAGTCCTGCTGGACAGCCGCTCCCTCCCCCTCTTCTACCTGTGCCTCCTCTTCCAATGATGGACGCTCCCCAGTCAGCCTCTGTCACATGGGGAGAGAAACGTGAGGAGGCATAAATGGATTTGCAAGAGTTTGTCGACCAGGCAGCAGGCATGCTGTCAATACACAAATGGGTTTGTGATAAAGGGGTCTCGTGTCAAGGATGGAAATTATTTCAAATGGCATGCATCACCTATCATGCTTCTGTTCCAAATTTAGCTCTTTATATACAGGGTGCTTAAAAAAAAAATCACTTATATGGGACTATCGTTTTTAACGGAAACAAATGGATAAACTGTAACATGATAAACACGTGTATGTTAACAGCTTCAAAAAGTCAAGAGTCTCGACTTTTTCACCATCATTGTCAACACATGCTTGTAACCTTCTCCAGAGCCCAGAGGCACATTTATTGTGGTGATGTTGCAAATTCTCCGAAGTGCGGATATTTTTTGAAGCACCCTTGTATAATTTTGCATTGAGCGAAGACCTATGTCTAAACAAAGTCCTTGCCACTAACATCTGACAGTTCATCAGCACAGATTCAAGCAAGCCCAACTGCTGCCAAGGCACTGTATCAAAACAGTCAAGGCGATGTTTGTGTTGGACCAATGATGCCAAAATGATGCACTCCAGTGGGCCTTGTGGCAGATAGGATGTGTAAAAAAAAAAGTTGTGGAATAACAGAGATGGAGGCATCTGAAACTTGTATGTTACAATTTTCTCCACGACACCAATAATTCAATCACTTAGCGGCCACAATTCTAGAATCACATTTCCAGTGCTTGTAATCTACTTTGCTGCATTGTTTCTAGAGTCCAAGTTTCCGTAGCATATGCCAACATGGGCACGCAGTATATTTTGTAAAAGATAATGTCACCACTATTGGCACCTTTATACCACATTGCAGAGCGCTACTCATTTTAGAGAGCCGAAATAAGGGCGCTATGAACAGTGATCTAAACTTAACAATTTTTAAAACTAGTTTAACATGTAGGCTTTTGTGACCAATATCATCCATAAGGTTTTTTGGGTTAGATCGCATAAGTGTCGTTAAAACCCACTACCACCCAAACTAGTAAGGATTGTCACCTAAACAGACCATGCCAATTCATCACGAGCACCGGTGTGTTGAAAAGCCCAGCCACAACATTTACATTGTGGCTTGGCTCTCCAACACACCGGTGTGCTGCACTAGTGACGAATTGGCACGTTCTGTTTACGTGACAACCCTTACTCGTTGGCCGTGTCGGGTGGTGGCGGTTTTTAACGACGCATTTATATATTTACGCGATCTAACCCATAAAAAAACCTCTTATGGATATTTTTAAACTATATATCTTTTTTTTATTTTAACCAGGTAAGGGGCCCACCAAGCGATATAGCTCTGTCAGAAGTGACCTAGCCACAAATGCTAGCTCAACGAAGTGGCTTTTCACGTGGATATTTTGAGCAGTTAAAAACTCGAAACGCATGTTTCTAAATGTGGATGATAAAACCAGAGGACCCAGAGACATCCATGCAACCACACAGGCACATGCAAACTCCAAATATAGGGAGGTGTCCGGGTCTGAATTGAACACCCATGACCCTCCTGTATACCAGGCGAGGTAGTTAACAACTCACACCATCGTGTGGTGCTCCTACGATGCCACTAGGGAGGAAACAAACGGCGATGAGGGAGCACAGACGCGATACGCCACCGGCGTTACTGCCAGGCCGTGCGGGCGGGTGGACGCAGCGATTGTTACCTCGATCATTGTCGCCAGGAAGTCGACGTGGGCGGCCACCTCCGAGAGATCCTCATTCTCGCGTCGTAGCTCCGCGATCTCCTGGTCGCGCTGCACCAGCTCAAGCCGCAACTACCAGAGACAAAGATCCCCCATATAGCCTTAACACACTGTTGGGGCAAGTGCTGTTTGAGAGTACCAAGGCTGGCACGGCACACGAGGGCGAGTGGCTAGTACCAACCGCTTCTGGCCACCTTCGACTCCCCAGTCGCGATGCCCACACACCGCACCGGATGCTCATTTAAAGCAGAGTCGTTCCATTGGACACCCAGTACAGGTTGAGATAATTCTTGACAACGATATTAGCCATGTCGATGGGAGCAATTTGTAAAGCACTGCACCACATTTCCCCACAAGAACCTCCGATTAGTACCTTTGGCTACAAACGGCGAGAACGAAGTTCAACATACATACAACAAAAAAATACTCAATATTACCAATGTATCCTTATTTATTTTAGGGGGCCAGTGCTTTTAGTGAGCTGTTATTCAGATTAACACAGGAGGGGCTGCGCTGTGGCCAGCGCTGCACCTGTGTTCTCCACCGCATCACCATTGCACACAAACACCGACAGGTGCGCACACACAAAAACTGTGCAAACATTTGGGCCCCTGTGCTATCATTTTTCAACATCACAATATCAACGTTCAGGCCATGGCGACCACAATATCAGTTCCCTATAAATGTATAATTCCATATTTGTCTTAGTTTTTTTACTTTGCTGAACTTCCAGGAATTACTCTAAAGTTATGGCAATGCAGTTCAGTAAATAAAAGCCTTCTACGCATTGTAACTTTACAACATATAATGCCGACACAATTGCAAAACATATACATTAGGCAGGCTGTCAATTGCTAATTTAATGGACAGTCATTTATTTTGCAAATTGAATTATATTGATGCTCAAAACTAATGTGGGTTAGGCCGCAATAATCTGGCCAAATGTGTGACATTAAGCCCATTTACCACCCAACACAGCCAAGCCAATTGAACTTTCATATGTGCAAAGTGTTCAATTGTGGCGATTATTATTGTAAGTTAAAGAACACGTCTCAACCCCATTTAGCCATGAGGCACGGTGTTCTGCTTGAAACGCTGTGAAGCACCCTGAACACAAGATCCAGAACGGTCGGAATAGAAACGGTAAATTATAATTTTATTTGTTTGGCTATGTGCTGTCATGGAAGATCTGAAGACAAATTTGTCTAGATCATAACATGGTGCGAATTATTTTTTTAATCTTATGAATCAATATTGGCTGAAAAATAACCTACACGCACAAACAAATGGGCAAGCCGGTTAACCAACCGCGCCTCTATACCAGCTCACCCGCTTGTTCTCCTGCAGCGCCTGGGCCAAGGCCCGTCTGCGCTGCTCCGCCAGCTGCTGCCAGTATTCCGGGGGCGGATCCTCTGAGGGGATCAACGCAACACACGTCAGCTTTTTAGTGAACCCCTCCTCCAATGAACATGCATCTCCTCTGCTCAAATAGTTACAGCGGTTACCACTTGACCACGATTGCGAATTTAAATACCGATTATTATATTCAAGATCCTACACAATAAGGGACCAACATATTTGTCTGCGATGTTGCAAAAGTACATCCCTGCATGCGCTCAGAGGTCCAATATTCGATGGCAGGTGCCTCGCATCATCAGAACTGCAGAGGGTGCATTTGCTTGAATTACACTGAAATTATGGAACCATCGGTCTAACCCATATCACTGCATTGATGATCTCAGTCAAGAACACTCAAGACTTACTTCCTCAAATTAGCTGTAAACAATTACTCGTGCACTGCAGGTGGAGACCAACAGATGCTGAACAATCACATTAGCTGTAAAAAATTACTTGTGCATTGCAGGTGGAGACCAACAGATGCTGAACAATCATTTCTTATATTGTTTAATTTTATTTCGTTGTCAGATAGGGGATGGAGAGAGGCGAGCCTCCGTGGCTGTTCACACGTGTAGACGCTCACCCTGAACCATGAGGGCATACGCATCTCGACTGCTGCAGCCAGCGAGCGCCGTCTGTCGTCTCTGCGTCGTCTTCCCGTTTGGCGCCGCCTTCACCGTCGCCGCCTACAACCACAGCGAGAGGGCGGGAAGGGATAAGGCAGCTTGAGTGAGCGCCGCCCCAGAGATCACGGTGTTGGTGTGTCAGGAGATCACGTATGAGACACCCACGTGCAGTGCGCCAAGAGGTAGCCTATAATATGAAGCATTAAATGAGGACATCATTCCATGGTCAGGTTATACAAGTTGTGTGTAAACATTCAGCACAGTTCTGCCAATTTTTATCCAACATCTGCTCCACATTTATTTCATTAGCAATCATTATTCCATCCCTTCTGGAAGCTCTCCTTCTCATAATTCAAAGGACAGCAGTTACCTCTTCATTTGTAACAGAGAAGATCCCCTTCACCTTAAAATTACACTTCTTGGGGTCATAAATATTTTGCTACACTTATCTGCATATACTCTCCTCAAGCAGCATCAACAATAGTCTTTCGTGCTTTAAGGTTCTAGCCTGATCTGTAAGGGCTACTCTCTTTCCATATTACTAATAAACTTCCCTCTTGAAACCTGCAATCACGTTTGTGTGGGTGTTTGTTTTGTTGAATTGCCATAGAGAAGGCGCATCAAGTCAGAGGCTGTTGACGGGTCAGTATAACAATCAATGATAATGAACTAAAGGAAATTATTTAAGAATTTAAAAGCTGCTTTAAAAAGGGAAGTCATAAATCATATCACATTGACTTCAGAAAAGTGGGATTTGCCAGGACACATCGTGATGAGGGATTGATGGCCAATAAAAGCCTGGTGATGGCATTGAAGCTAAAGTAGGTAATACGCTTAAACAGGATGATAAATGTAGAGGTGTAGACAGGAGATTATCTCATACAGAGAAGCAAGTCGATTGTGGTTTAGCAGGACTGCAATAAGGGGCGCCACAATGGCGAGATGTTAACCAACGTGCCTGGTATTCAAGTCATGGGTTCGATCCCGACCTTGACGCCTATATATAGTTGCGGTCTCCCCGTAGTCGTGGGGATTTCTCTGGGACCTCCGGGTTCTCCCTCCACATTTAAAAACATGCATTTAGAGTGTTTGGCTGCTGCTATACATTTCCACATGACAAGCCACTTCATTGGACCTACAATTTATGGCTAGGTGGCTTCCGAAAAACTACTAAATAGCTCAGTGGGCCTTACATGGTAAAAAAATATATATATTTAAAGCTTTCGTGACTGCAGTCATTCATATTTAGTTCTTTCGGTAAACCCACGATGAAGGGAAACAACAAAATAATAAAATATATATAAAACAATAAAAATTCTCACGACGTTTCGACCATAACACAAACGGTCGTCTTCATGTGTGTCGGTTTTCATAAATATATATTTTATTATTTTGTTGTTTCCCTTCAACGTGACTTTACCGAAAGAACTAAGAATATAAAAAAAATAATTTAGTTAATAAGGAACAGGGACGCGGGAACACCTTTATATAGCATAGCAGTGGATAGAATACAGCTGCGTGCACGCATTAGTCAGCGCCGCAGATCACACCTGCATCAGACGCCTCGTGGCATCTTGTGGGGGCACACACGGCTGGATCTCCTGCAGCGTCCGCCTGGGCCTTGGAGCCAGACCGTCGCCCATTGGAACTCCACTCTGCACACGTACACCACCACACCGCAATTATGAATGCTGCATGTTATTCACCACACGTGTACACACAACCACAGCAATTCAAGCACCTCACTTGACCTGTTATTTGCCAAAAGCACAAACAGGGCAAGCGTGATTGTTGCTCAACTTCGTGTTATTCACCACATAAGAGTAACATTTTGTTGAACCTGTTAATCACCACATGCAACCATCTTTGTCTCCCCAATGCAGATGCCTTTACACACTGCACTTGGTACTCATGAGGCCAAAACACAGGCAAACGTTAACAGCCATGCACATGCACTTCAAGAACATTACGGGGACACTACAACATTATAGCATAAACACCACAAGGATGAAACGGACACACCAAGCAAATGTCAGTTCAAAGCCATTAGATGGTGGAGAGTACTACACATCCCTTTCTATACAATTACAGGATGGATAATCTTTAAACATTCAAGTTAATGTGCCACTTTCCACGGCAAGTGAATAATAGGGGGCAATGTGCAGACGTACTTGCGCATCGCAAAACACAAATTTGACTCCTTAACAATCAGTTACCAGAGTTACTAGACCCTGTCTGTAAAATTTCACGGCTCAGTCTATTCAAATCCAAAACTCACTCCTGCTCCCACAACAGGCACACTACTCATGCCCTGAGAGGTTACATTTTAGGGCAAGACCTATCCACTACCACCACCAAGTCATCACCACATGCATCTGCACACTTTCCCCGCATGCTACGGTCCTAAAAAAAAATGCCTGCCCTAAAAAGGGCGCCAGTGGCGAGATGTTAACTACCTCGCCTGGTATACTGAAGGTCAGTCATGGTTTCGATCCCAACCCTGACGGTACCTGTATATTTGGAGTTTGCATGTTCTCCCTGTGCTAACGTGGATTTTTCTCAGGGTCCTCGGTTTTTCCCCTCCATATTTTTAGAATCATGCGTTTACAGTATTATGCTGCTATACATTTCCACATTATAATTTACTTTGTCGAGCTGTTATTTGTGGCGAGGTCGCTTCTGAAAAAGAGCTATATAGCTCACTGGGCCTTAATATAAAAAAAAGTTTTAAAATAGTAAGCCAAGGCCATAACACTAGGGCAATGGTTTTCACACAGAACTTTGATAACCAGCAATGTCAAGTCATTGGCTGTATTGTAAAACTCTGATAAAAAGCAATATGTAGGGATTAGTATAGACACTGTAAACACAAGGGGATCAAAAACGAAACAAAGCGATTCTGCAGACATAAAGGCTCAGTCTAGTTGGACAGCCCAATAGGGATACAATTTGTATTATTCCATAGCAATGCATTACAAAATATCATACTCAGAGTAGAGCCCTGAACATAAATTGGCAACAGTTTTGGTATCAATACCTTCTGGCATCACCCTACTGGTATCACAAATCCTTGAGTGGGGATTATAGGATATTTATCTACGGGTCATCAGTGACCACCACTGCATAGCTATGTCCTTACATTAATGAACACATTTATCCAGCAATGCCTCACTGCTGCTAATGCTTTCCGTCCCTCGGGACTTGCTTTGGATGTTCGTTCTCACAGGAGATGCAACACAAAACAGCCTGGTTTGCAGGAGAAGTGCCACAGCAGTGACCAGGGGTTACACGAGCTTTAAATAAACAATTGTTACTAAAGTTTGTCAAACGCTCTTAAATATATTTTGTTAGCATGCCCAGAATTGCCCTATGGCAACAAAGTCTTATGCAAGTCAATTCAAAGTTGCATCAAAGCTTTAAACATATGCTGAACAACCCCATCCACAGCAGAGGTATGTAGTTAAAAGCCAACTGATTTCTAACGGCATCAAAATTTACACTTTCACCTTCGCACAAAAACCGACTCAAATCTATACGAGGGGATGTGTAAGGAGGCGCGCAATCATTCAAGCGCACTTACGTCGATCTTAAAAACGCCGCCTCCGCTCCCCAAATCGCCGTGGAGGGAGCGGCGTGCGATGCACACGCATAGCCCAAAGGCTGAATGATGTCGGATGAAGGTAACGCAACCTCTCGGTGCCCGTTGAGCTCAAGTCACCCGGGGCAAAAGGCGGAGCAAACAATCTTAAACGTTCCTTCACGAAATGGAGCTTTGGCGGGCTTGGCAAGTCAGCCCTCAGTTAACAAATGTGGCAAAGTGCACAAGCAGTGCAATATTAACAGCTGCGGTTGAGGAGACAAGAGTGCGATTCTATCTCGCTCGGCTGCCCGCCAGCCTACCCGCCAAACGGTGAACATTCTTGATGAATAAAAAAATCAATGGCAGCGTCGACAAAACAGTCATTGTGTGAAAAATAAAGAAATAAAAACAAAAACCACAGGCTTAGCGTGAAGAGAACAGTTAAATATTACGACACCAATTAGTAAGGCGATAGGGGCGCAGCAATCATTAACCGACCCGCACAGGAAGTACGATGGGGATTTGCACGGGTGAGCGGAGACACCTCCACACCGCTTGGTGGTGCTCAGGCCACCACCTCGACAGCGTTACGAGACCAGCAGAGATTTACAACCACTGGGCAAGCTGTACATGGGTCTGCTAACCGCACAGCAGGTGCTCAGCACCTCCCCTAGCTCACACAGCTAGATGATCTATAGCTTTCACAGGCAGCCTACGTAAGCACTTGGATGAAGCATCTCCTTAAAGATCATGTCTGGAATCAAAGGGCTTCAAACCACTGATGAACGAAGATCTTCACAAGCTATTGCGATCCCTCCTGGCAATGCATTAATTACGACCAAAATATACCTATAATCAATCAACACGGTATGGCGAGGCTTTCATCCAATAGTGGATTGCCAAAAGGGCTGCGATTTGTAAAGCTTACTTTACAGGTATGCTTCTGAAAATGCTCAATTTCTTCAAGCGCTTCTCAAACTCTTGCTTGCAAGCTGCCTTTTTTATTAGGTCGCTCGCACTAAACTTCATGAATCTGTGACAAGAACTCTTTACCAAAGACTACTTTGGTGAAGCACTTCTGCCTAGAGATCGCTTCCCAGTCATGCTTTTTCAAAATTATTTCTACCTTGGTGCACAGCAACGTTTACCTGAAAACTTTAAAGCAGCAATTCAATTGTCAATGTGTCATTCACAAACAAGGCTCCCTATTCACACACAAAGTTAACACCCCCACGTTGGCATCAAGCACAAAGCCAGATGTTATTTGCTTCCATTCGAAACGACTAATTTATTGCGGCAGGTAATGGGCACGGTTGAGACAAAGTTGGAAGTCAAAGTTCCCAGAGAGTTGCTGCTCATCTCCTGTTTGCAGCTCAGAACCAGTCGTGGAAATTCTGTATTCTGATGGTGGTGGGGGGGGGGAAGTCTGCATAGGACAACTCTATTGATATCCCAGACCTCCTTATTTCATGGACTGCTGAAGGATGAAGTTTAAGTGACCTCTGATTAGTATTTGAAGTCTACTTTCCACACAGAGCGCTGTGCGTTAAAACCATTGCCCACCCCAGCTGATGGTACAAACCCCACTTAGGGTCACACACACCAAAAAGAGACTTTAGTCGTCAAGGACAGAACATTTTTAGATGTTGGAAGTATTACAAAAACAGATTACCCAAGAATGTGTTTTTTTATTTTTGCATCATTAATATGGTCTTAACTCTGATTTCAGGACAGTCCTACACTTAGCAGCATTAGAATAGGAAGGCCAATGATCCGTGAATGTCTTTCGCAAAAGCAAGTCGCCTTGTCCAACTCTTTTTGAAACGTGTATTTTGGTACTTAATTTGATTTACAAGTGTAACGCGAGGAAAAATTAAACATCTCGTATTTGCTGATAGCCATTATATATAATGTCCAATCGGATCGAATTACAGGAAAATATTAGCATTTAAAAGAGGCTGTTGAGCTCAGAATACGAGCAAAACGAAGGTCAAGTACAACCAGTTTGCAAAAGAATGCCAAGAGGGTAATAACTCATAAAAGACAGCAGAGTATATTTACCCAGGACAGCTACTTAAGGCAGATTAGGATAAAAGAACATTTTTTTTTTTATAAAGGCAGACGAGAGCAGAAGTGCTTTTATAAAATACGAATAGATACAGAAAGCAATACCAATGTGTCAACAGAAGAGTGTTTAACCATTAATCATTGCATATCAGCATTTTACAGACCAGAAGCATGAATACTAACAAAGCGGGAAGCAACGCAATTTCACCGCTATATAAAAAGCAACGCTTGGATCAGAGAGCACAGGCAGGTTAAAATATATCATATTAACTGTCAAAGGGGACATGGACAAAAACACGTAGCTAGAAGGTACGAGGGCTGGTGGTTTAGAAACAGTTGCAGCAAAGGACAGGAATGTGCCCCAAAGAATGAGCAACGATGAGATGTGAAGAAATCAGCTTGTGTGAAGATGCTGGGTGAACTGGTACACTGCAGGACTGTATGAGATGGAGACGGCTTGCATCCAATGGGAAATGTATGATGCCCGATGATAAAGGCGTTTTATTTCCCCCCCACCTTCACCAATATTCATGTCATTTGATATTCGTTACTGGACTCCCCTTTGCGGGAATTCAATGGTAGTCAACCTATGAACTGCCCAACCACTGCCATGAGACTAACAACTTTTACTGCAGACTTTGGGCAGCGAACTGAGAGGAACACTCCACCAGTCTTCGTGTGAACAGGGTGAGATAGAGACCTTCCCAACTACCAGAAGGGATGTGCATCTCAGTCGGCTATCACCAGGTTAACTAAAAAAAGACACCCATGTACTTGGAGTGTATAAACATGATTGGCGCGACAGCAGAATCTAAGCTTGAGAAACCAAACACGACATCATGTCAAGGTGAGCGCCCACTTTACGCCAAACAAAGAAATTCATTCACGGTAAATAACGATGGACCGAATTTTTCTGCGGGGAGGGGAAGTGGGTGGACAAAGCTGCAACGCAAAGCACACACGCTCTTACGCGCGTCTTGGGTGAACCGCGTGGGAATGTGCCACTTGCGCCGTTCTCAGCGTTTATCTCTAAGCAAACACGGTGCAGCGTGGAGTGGTGCAGCGGAGACCCAGGAGCGCTCACACTAAACACATTTTTATTTTACCAGGTAAGGCCCACTAAGCTACATCGCTTTTTCAGAAGCGACCTGGCCACAAATCATAGCTCAACAAAGTGGTTTATCATATAGAAATGTATAGCAACCAAATACCCGGACAAAAATTTACGCGACCACTAGCAGAACATGCAAGCTCCAAATGCAGACGTCAGGATCAAACCCACAACCTCGTGTATACCAGGTGAGGTAGTTAGCATCTTGTCACCCCTGCAAGCAGCAGTACTCAGCTTCTAAAACTATTCTAATTTAAGTATTATCAGGAAAGATTTACCGAGACAAGATTCGATTGGGATGGCCCCAAATTGTGAATATTGGCCGATTCCTAGAATAAATACCCTACAATTAAAACCACAAGAGTGCTTTTAAAAAGATCTAGAGCGCAACAATACAGATTGATCAAAACAATTAAGTACAAGGTTGCACAACTCATTAAGATCCTTGGTTTTAAATCCAGGTTGACTGCCCATGACCAAACCTGGTTGTCAAGTGTAACAAGTTGGTCTCGGCCCAATCACCAACAACAGCACACAAGAAATTGCACTTAACATACTATTAAGCATTGATGTATTGGTTTGACTGTCATGAGACAAATGTTGTTCTGAAAACTGTGCTGCTCAGTTCCTAATAAATAATTCAACTCGCAAAATGTTGATCGCACAAACAGGATAACATTTGGAGATAACACAAAAGAAAACAAGATCAAACTAATTAGAATATAAAGAGTTAAGTGATATATCAGGGAAAAGTAATAATAAAAAAATATACATAAGATTAAGTGATAAACAGCATTAGAAGAGGCATAAACATGCAATTCTGATTAACAAGATTCATCTTGTCTCAGCAGTGAAGCCAATTTCCTCTTAAAAGACCAGAAAGGTTTTTAAATGCAGATGCAATAACGTCAAAGTAGAATTATGAATTTCCAGTGTTTTTCAGGTGGGCAGAAATCAGAGCTTGAGAAAACCCACCATGCATACAATATAACAAACGTCTGTACTGACAGACTTATTAATGAAAGCATTTGCTGTACCATCCTCGCCGAGCTATCTCGCAGCTCAGCAGGTTTGGACATTTAACAAATCTCCATGCAATCCACCAACTCTTGCCTCTCAAGCGCTGGCTTAAAAGGCGTGCACCACCACGTTCTACTTACTGCTGAGCAAACAGCCAGATGGAGCGACCTTGGATGGATTCTCTGGGTTCCCACGATCAGGGTGACACAAGTGATTTTACGTACACATTCAAAGAGAGGGAGGTTGCTCACAATGGCAGTTTGAACCCCAAGCTGGCACTGCCAAGACCCTAGGTATGAAATCTGGGCAGCCACATGTTTCAGATCCAAGACAGCCCAATAAACAAATAGCCCCTATATAGGCTATTGGATAAGGCGGTTTAACTTTGTTCATGAGAAAAAGACTAGCAACAACTCAAACATGTGTCAGACTCTGGACACAACAGCATAGGTGTACATGGCAAGAGTTATGGCAAACTGGGTTCATTGTTCGATAGTTTGAAGCCAGTCACCAATGAATGCACAAAAAACCTGCACACTAGCGGTGTATAATCATAATGCAACAATTCACGTCCAAACCCTGGATGTACAAGTAATACATACTTAGAATACGCTAGAATAATTCATATTCGACTCTCAGATCACATTATAGGCATCGGATTGTGCCATAAATTAGGCTTCGATATATGTGTTGTATTTAATGGGTTTCACATTACTCCCCAATCACCTGGAGGCTCATACATTCAAAAAGTAAATATATTGACAAAATATTCTTCATATCAAATTGTTACTGCAACTCATAATTTATGTAAGCAAAGGTGGGAAACTATTAAACCACAACAAATAAACTAGGTTTTTCTTAAGTTTGTTGGCAATAGTTCATATTGCTGAAATGCTCAGGTCAACTTACACACAAATTTTTTACAGATTACCTATGGTAAGAGACCAACGAATGAGAGAAGCTTAAAGACAGCTTCTTATGGAATTACCCAATGACAGGCATATTACACTCTTGTTAGAAATCCAAAATATCCAAGTGCTTGTTGATTTATAACGAGGTTCACCAAATGGACCGTCTTGAGCAATAGGATTTTTTTGTGCGTAGACACCCAGAATGCGTGCCAAAGCAAGGCGATAGGAGGGAGGCGGGGACGCAGAGGCATGGGAAAGTTAACACTGAAAACAACAAGCATAAAAAAGTCACACACCACACTTAACGCAGGAACCTGTCTGAATCACATTAGTGCCCCCAAAAGCACCCCCTACACAAAAACAAACACTTCACAGGGACATTACCTCCTATGGCTGGCAATTGCACTCAAACGAGCAGGAGAGGTCGCTGGGTCGCCTAACCTTAGCCTTTAAAAAACACTTTCCGAACTGCAAACTAATTCCATCGTTTTTAAAAACTAACCAGTAGAAGACTCCAATCGACTTTGGAGTCGTATTTAACATGTGGCAACTAACTATGATCAAGAAAAAAGGGGATCGTGTTTAGTATGAAAATTAGTAGCTTAAACATTTAGAATTTTAGATGGAGCCTACCTTAACCGACCACCTGCAGTAATTTTTGGAGGCAAAAGTTATAACATTTGTTGTTGTATTCTTCAAGTCAGAAAGAGACTACTTCAGTGCCAAATGTAAATAATCTGTTAAAATCGTCATGAACACGATGAGATGAAATGCAAATATATATTTTTATCATTAATTTATGTTAAGTCAGTTAAGTTTGTGAAAAGTACACGTACTATAACCATAACCACAAGTTGGGCAGGTGTACTTCCCTGCCTGGTACCCCCCCGGGCTAGAGGCAGGCAAGCTACTTGGACTGGGTAGCCAAGCAGGGAGTAAGGACTATGCAAAGGAGATCTGGCTTCATTCATGAAATCCCAGCCTCTACTTCAATAACCAGCGAAGTGATGATGGATTCGTTATCATGCTGCCTAGTGAAAGTATTATGGATTATGCAAACCATATCCAATTTAGGCAAATATGATGCGCAAATCTGTAAAAAGTCAAACAACAAACAAGATTATCAAATATAAAACTACCGATTATGGAATTTAATTTACTCAAATTTAAATGATACATGGAACCATTGGCTTAATTATTCCATACCTAGGACTGTACATGTCAAATCGTTTTTGTAAATCCACTGCTAGAGGAGTGCCTTTACTCGGTGCAAGTCACTTGGGAGTTATTTTACAAAGCTACACATGTTGATACATCTGGGTTGAAGGTGGGATGCATTGCCATAGTAGCATAGAAATGTAGTACAGCAATGTATTTTGCTACACTGCCCACAATTAACCAATAAAACACATGGGACGTTATTCCAATAGCTCGGTAATGTACAACTTTTGCTGCCGACACGAAGCTGCATGTTTGATACAATGGTATGTTGCTAAACATTTGACAAGAGCAGCAAGGTTGTGCAGGTTTTAATTTGCTCTAAGAGACTAGATGTTGCTGCCATGGTATAATGGTGCACACTGAATTTACAATCCATAAAAACTCATTCACACAGGCTAGCGAGGTAGTCATTACTGTCTGGCCTCCGTACTGCTAAGAGGCACCATTGGCCAAAACATCACCTATTACATACAATTCCTTTCTAAGTACAAGTTAGCAGACCATGTTGAGCATGGATGCTTTGCGGTTCAATCTCTCCCAGTGATCAGCTGTCTCGCCTCTGTCCACCCAGTAGTATAAATGGGCATCAGTTAGTTAATTGACAGGTAGTGTGTGGTGGGAGGTTGTGTGGGTAATCCCATCTCTTCAAAAGACGCCGAGCCAGCATAGAAGAGCAGGTCAAATACTCTAAAAGGGAGGCTTCTCTAGAATCCCATCCAGTGGCGGTTGCTCTACAAGCAGTGTCGAGAGCAGGTAATTCCATGACTGCACGTTTACATAAAAAAATGCCTCCCTCATATCGGTCCCTCGACCAGAAAGTGTTTGAAAAGAAACACTTTTACAAATGACAAAACATCTCCAGAAGTCACACAGCCTTCCAGGAGTGCAATTTTCAGCAGCATTGGTTCAACACAAGCACTCTGGTCCGGTTTTGACATTCAATCTTTCATCAGCATCATAAAGTTTGCTTTAACCAACCACTGATGAATTGCCAGGATGTGTATAGAGGCAAGGCCCCCTTTCTTTTCAATGTTTACGACGCGAGGGCGCTTGTGCAGGACTCGCCTTAACCACACCCACGGAGCTGTTCTCGACCTCGGCATTGACTCTGCTGCGCCCGGTGCTCATCTTCGTAGTCTCTTCCCTTCTTCCCGCAACCTCTTTTCTCTTCAGCCTCACCGCCTCTCAGCAAAGGCGTTACCGCAGCGGTCTCCCTACACACAGACTGAAGACGAAACACACATTCTTGGTTCTTTCGGTAAAGTCACGTAGAAGGGAAACAATCAAACAATAACATAATAAATAACATATATAAAGAACCAAGAATATGAATCCCTGCAGTCACGAAAACTTTAAATCAAAACGAAACACAGAAGCAACCGGATGGCAATAAAAGACGTTAAGATGTTCAAACAGTAAATTTGAAACCTTTTTTTGCACGGAATCAAGTCTACATTAACCACGTACATTGTGGTGAACATGCAAACAAAACACGCTCTGGATAATATGCGTCGTCTTTGAAACAGATCGGCCGGATCAGGGTCATCACCCATCACCGGATTCAACTTTAAGGGTAGCCTCATGAACACCCAGGCCAATGGTCTTCGGTTCAGTGCCGTTAAAGTAAACCTCGCACAACCAAACCGAGGGCCAGTTGCTAAGAGAGCGTTAACGGGTTTTACCCACTTATCACGTCCTCAGTTTCATTATGTACGATACGACTCCCTAATATACGAGCCGTCCACACAAAGGTTTCGACATTCAGCGTCTCATCAGCAGTCAGGCTTAAGCCAAAATTGAACGCCAGATGTATAGGCAAGGGCCGACCACACGGTTAAGACATGCATCCCAGTTCGACGTAAAATTACGTAACGCAAGCATAAGCTTCGATGTGGAGAATGGTTACAATAAAAGCATCGTCTGCGTTTGCCACTTAGAGAATATTCGCCACGACGCTCGTTACGGAAAAACAAAGCGAGCTCGGATATTAATTCTCCCTCCAAAACTATACGCGCTCTCAAGGAAACGATTACTTACATTCAATGCAGTTTAGTTGGCGGCTGGTCTGTACTAGACGGTACTCCGAATACACACACACATTTAAATTAATCTTAAACCATTGTTTTAAATATTTAATTGCTTCAGACGAGGCAATTCCACATTGGGGAAAGGCCCAAACCCACCAGGCCTCGGAGCGTAAATCCGCCGCGCTTCGCGGAACATTTAATAACGCGAACCAAAGCCGCGCTCTCGTTAGTGCTGCTTACTTACCCGCGTATGAGGAGACGAGAAGTCCAAGACGCGAGGAGATTAACAAAACCACACGACGAACTCTCAGCGGTGAAGACTCGCCACTCAAATCACGTTACCAATGTTCCCGCGAAAATGTAACCCTCACATTGCCTTATATAGGCCTCTAGGTCCACGTGACCTCACATCGACCAATCACACGCGTCCTCATCACCGCCCCCACCCCCCCTCCGATGACGTGACCGGTGTTTGGGACGCTCAACGCATTCCTCAATGATAACCCCGCGTGACCTTTACAGGGAGGAATCTAAATACACAGTGGCATAGCAGTCAAATCCATAGGGTTTACCCGTATTCTTGTACAAGGAAATTGAGTTTTCAGGTCCCCACGGTGTAGAGCCGTTTTAATACGGGCAACAACAATACACGTCTGTTGCGTTTCTCCCGTGTGATGGGTCTTTGTAGGATGAACGTTGAGATTTATAAGGGCACGGGGTTACCAATAAGGTCTGCATTGGGTCTGTAATAAGGTTGGCACTGATAAGGGGTTGACAGGTATGTAGTAGTAATAGACGACTTCATAGAACAGCAGTAACTGTGATACTGCATTGGCGGTGGTGCACGAGTACAAATAACTCAAAATTTTGATTTAAAGCTTTCGTGACTGCAGTAATTCATATGCTTAGTTCTTTCGGTAAAGTCACGTTGAAGGGAAACAACAAAATAATAAAATATATAAAACAATAAAAATTCTCACTACGTTTCGACCATAACACAAACGGTCGTCTTCAGGTGTGTTGGTTTGCATAAATGTATTTTTAAACGGTGTATTTATTTATTTATAAAAAACCGTTAGCGCCACGCGCAGCGATTTGGCAGTTTATTTAGGACGAGTCCATCTATATTCTGAAAAGAGGAGGGGGGAGACGAATTTTTTTTTGTATGCTGTCTGAAAGCCACTGTAAGCGTGAACAATCAATTAAGACCTGAAATGGTTTATCAAATCTTTCCAATGATTGCTAAGATAGAATCCATCTTCTCGGTTGAAATTGTCTCTGTGCTTGTATATGTGGATAGCCTCATGAACGAATCTCTCATGGTAGCCAGATGGCTTACTTTTCCAAGACAGAGGTTCTTTGTAAGCCATCTGGCTACCATGAGAGATTCGTTCATGAGGCTATCCACATATACAAGCACAGAGACAATTTGAACCGAGAAGATGGATTCTATCTTAGCAATCATTGGAAAGATTTGATAAACAATTTCAGGTCTTAATTGATTGTTTACGCTTACAGTGGCTTGCAGGCAGCATACAAAAACAATTTCGTCTCCCCCCTCCTCTTTTCAGAATATAGATGGACTCGTCCTAAATAAACTGCCAAATCGCTGCGCGTGGCGCTAACGTTTTTTATAAATAAATAAATACACCGTTTAAAAATAAATTTATGCAAACCAACACACCTGAAGACGACCGTTTGTGTTATGGTCGAAACGTCGTGAGAATTTTTATTGTTTTTTATATATATTTTATTATTTAGTTGTTTCCCTTCAACGTGACTTTACCGAAAGAACTAAGAATACAAATAACTCATCGCATTCGTCAATGGCACTGCCGCTAAAGTGGTTGTTCCTAAATAGACTCGGCCCCGCCAAATGAATGTAGAATTTACAACCACTGACTTAGGGCTGTAAACAAGACGTGCACCGTCTCAATGTTGATTTGAGTAGAAAGTCACTCAAATTTTTTTTGTAAAGGGAAACAATAAGAGAAGACGTTTGGGGTTGTTCTATGCTATCAAGAAGGGCCGTTGCCCAAAACGTCACAGATATTTTTTTTATTTTTAAGGCTGTTGTTGGCGATTGTGTTGTTTTATGGTGCTAGTACAACGCTGCAAATGACAGCAGCATCACCAATCAATGTATGTGTCCACAGGAGCGTTTACAAACCCACAATACACATGGTATGAATTTACATTTTATTATAAAGTACTGTATACAGTATATATTAGTCCCCGTTTCAGTCCCCCGAGTACTCCGTGCTCCTCCTCACACTCCCATCAGACCCTATGAAACCCACGTCATTACTATGTTTCAAGCAATGTAATAAACATTTCCGGATGTATCCCGATAGGATGGCTTCGAGTATGAACAAAACAGCTTGCATTGCTGTGGGTTAGTTGTGACACTAGAGGGGTCAGACGTGGTCTGCATGGGTGGAAATATGCCCTTAATCCAGGAAAGCCTCATGCAGTCTCAAGACTTCCTACAGGAGGGTCCTGCATTTGGGATGTTTGGCCAACTCCATTTGAGTGGTAGGGAACTAACCAGAGTACTCGGAGGAAACTCACACACATGAGGGGCTGACACTCGAAGCACCACAAATAATCACAAATCTCACAGTCCAGTGTGTTTGCAAGTGTTACAAATCTGTGTGATCCATCAACCCTTGCCTTCAAAGTGTTGGATTCCAGGTGTGCGCAACCGTGCCGAATATCTGAAGTGTGATGAGTATTCAGAGTGCAGTATCGCGGGTATCAAAATATTTTGGATGCTAATTTTGTTATTATTTTTGTTCTATCTACGTGACTTTACTGAAAGAACCAGAGAGAGTATAGATTCCTGCAGTCACAAAAGCTTCAAATCAAGATTTGTTATGAAAATCCCACCAGGCTTTTTTTCAGAGCTCTGCTGTAGGTTTCAGTGCTTGAGTACTGCTGCTGAAAATGTTGACAATATTCAGAACATGGCTCGCAGCACGAGGGAAAAATGAGCGGAGAGAAATCCAATATTTATGGATGTCAATTAAATATAAATATTACCTTAAGGCTAACAGAACTAAAAATACGTATTTTGTTGAACTTTTTTTACACCGTACATAGCCAAGCATGCTAACTGGAGGTGCAACAAGAAGTATCACGAGACAAACAGCACAAACAAGATAGCACAAATGAGACAAACAAATTCGTAACACAGATTGACGATGCATCAAATTGCAGAGGAGGTTCACTCATTGCTTGCCAAGTCAAAGCACAAACTCAATCAGAGCCAACAGATGGACAAACACACGTGGCTATATGTAAAGTACAATTATTGTGCGATTGAGTGGCTGTGTTAAAAATTAGAGTTGATCTATGTGCAGACACCACATGTCCTATCGTCTTACGACAGCAAATGGATGATGCATTGCTTCATAAACCGACTCATTTATGCTAGAAGGCACAGGGTATAACATGGACGACTTTGATGTTGGTTCGTTCAGCCCATCTGTTCTGGATTCGACGAGGGGTGGATCAGTGCTAGTTAAGAGTGAATTGGGATAGCCAGGGTTGGGACAAGTTGGATGACACTGATCTGGGCAGGAGTCATCGTTAAGGTAAGGGCACCGGTAGGGTAAGGTCAGGATAGGACAGAACAAAGGTTGCGGTTAAGGTTGCGGAGAAAAGGGTAAGGTGGGAATTGGGTTAGGCAGTATTAATATTAGGATCAAGGCAAAGTTTGGGTAGTGTTATTGCTAGGGCTAAGGTTATGTTTAGGCTCATGGTTAAGGTTTGGAATAGGGTTTATGGTTAGAATAGGTTAGAGACAGGGTTATGAAAGGGTTGAGATTAGAGACAGGGTTTTGACAGGATTCTAGTTATGGTGACAGTCAGGGTTATTGAATGTGTTCAGATGTTTCTTCTTCTTTGGTTCTTTCGGTAAAGTCATGTAGAATGAGAATAAAATAATAAATTGATAAAATAAAATAACACAATAATATTCTCACGACGTTTCGGCCACAACACAAGCGGCCTTCATCAGGTGAAGGGACGAGACTGTCCTACCAGGACAGCGCTGTCCTACCAGACAGTCTCGTCCCTTCACCTGATGAAGGCCGCTTGTGTTGTGGCCGAAACGTCGTGAGAATATTATTGTGTTATTTTATTTTATCAATTTATTATTTTATTCTCATTCTACGTGACTTTACCGAAAGAACCAAAGAAGATGAATCATTGCAGTCACGAAAGCTTTAAATCGAAATTGTTCAGATGTTGTTAAAGGAAAAGTCAGGGCAAAGTAGTTTCAGGGCTATGGCCAGGGTAGGGTTAATTCCAGGGCAGGACCAATGTTATGGTTAGGGTTAAGGTAGAGATCAGGGCTAGCTGCTGCCCAGGTGCTTGGTGTGCCGGCCCTGAGCCACAAGGCGGCCGGTTGCTTTGTTGGTGATGTCGACGGTGGCGAAGGCGAGGGTTCGGCCCTGGCGTAAGACGTGAGCGGCGATCACCAACTCCTCGCCCACGCGTGCCGCGCTCATGTACCTGTGGGCACGCACGTGCATCAGTTTTCACGATGCACAAAAACGGTTACTTTTTATGCCACGCTCATCCTCATGTGTCATGTTCATACATAATACTCAAGTCATTATTTCAGATTCATATGTAATGTTAAGATCAGTGATACATTTTTACAGATGATACTGATGTCAACGATCAATTTAGTGACCCACATTCATACGTGAATAGTCAATGCATTGTCCACCTTCCGTAGGTATTGTTCAAGTCAGTTCCAACGTTGATGCATCAATGTGTGATGTTAACGTTTGCATCACTGGTTGAGCTGTCCACTGTTCGAGTGTCCCATGACCATATATGATGTTTAAGTCAATGCACCACATTCATATTTAAAAGCTCACTGTGTAAGTCAGAAACCTCTGTCCATACATAATGCTCACTCTGTGAGTCAGTTTCCATGTTTGCACGTGATGTTCAGTGTGCAAGTCCGTGCGATCCGTCCGTACGTGATATTCATGTCGACGCTAACACCGGGCGCAGCGCGTTCGGTGGAGAGCAGTGCGGTGGTGGAAACCACGTCAACGAGAGTGGCGGTGAGACCGCCGTGCAGTGTGCCGCCGCGGTTCGTGTGCTCCTCGCACACGGGCATCTCGCAAACCACGTGGCCTGGCTCTGCCGACACCACCTCCACCTGCAGGTGTGCACACAAAACAAACATAACAAGCCACCATATACAGTGGCCTAGCTACCGAGTGTGCAGGCAGTGCAACTGCGCGAGTCCCAGGAGCGCACAGGAGCCCAGGAGCGCACAGGGGCCCAGGAGCGCACAGGGGCCCAGGAGCGCACAGGGGCCCAGGAGCGCACAGGGGCCCAGGAGCGCACAGGGGCCCAGGAGCACACAGGGGCCCAGGAGCGCACAGGGGCCCAGGTGCTGGCCTATGAAGGAAGCGGGGAGAAGACGGGGGTGAGCTCTGGTGGTTGGTCACTGCTGGCTTTAGGTTAGGTAATGTTGAGTATTTGCCCAGGATGGTGGCAGATTGTAGTCCTCGGATGACTGGTGGCCCACAAGGTCGTGGGAAGTCGTCAACGGAACTGTTGTAGGTATGATTTTTTTAAACAAAACACCGCATTCTTTAATGAATGCTAGTCCGCGAAACATGTTTGAGAGTTGACAGTGGTCTCTGGGTGCTGAAAGGTTTGGAGCCACCGCTCTAAACGAACCACATTCTTTTCTGATATATTAATTTTAGCAAAAAACCCTCAAAATTCATCAACAACAGATTAAAAGAAAAATATATAACAGGTAATATTTCGGGCAATGGCCCTTCTTTATCGTGTATGTGCTATGAAGATATTCAGTTTTTTGTTGCGTTTGTGTACCACTTCCAACGCCGTATCACTGATTTGTTTGCAGTTCACCTCATCGCCACTGCAGGTCGCTATAAACCATACAAATCGCTTTTTCCTATACACGATGATACAGTACATACAATTACAAGACAGCGACATCGCATATAGCCCATACATGCATTTACAATGCACAAACATTACACAGCACATGCGTCTTTACACGCCTCACGGTTACACTGCACAACACACATCTCACACATGTACACTGCACACACCTCACACATGCACATCTTAGTCATATTTCACACACATACAGCTCAAACACATTGCACTGCACTCATCTCTCTCACACACACCACCTCACACACACACACCACCTCACACACAAGAGTTATACGAGGCAAACTGCACGCGGACACGACAGCGCCCCCAGTCCGAGCTCGCGTCCTTCACACACAGGGGCATTAGCCACGCCGACTCCTGCCATGACCTCCCAGGCCCCACGCAAAGTCACACGCGTGTTCACTCACACGCGTGTCCCATCACGTACACACACGTGTCCACTCACTCGCCTATGTTCCCTGACGCTTCCACTCACACACATTAACCCTCACACACGTGTACACTTATACGAGCAATGCCACGGCCTGCATATCCACTGCGCTCCTTCATTCAAGTGGTGGCCATTCCACATTGCTATGGAAAGTCTACAGAACCAATATTTTTCTGCTTTTGTTTAATTCTCGTATATTTGCTTATTGCTTATGTTTCTTATCGGTAGTGTTTGCCATTCAAGCCAGGTTAAGTTGAGCACACGAGCCGGTATAAGGCCTTGGGTGGGTACCTCGGATAGCGGCTCGGCCGGGAGCGATGCAACCCTTGGCCGGCGGAGTACCGGCCAAGGGGGGGGGGTCCGGTCGGGTGAGGAAGTTAAAGAGGCGGACACGTCGTGGCACTGTCGGGGAGAGAGCGAGAGACAGAGGGAGCGAGGGCGCACCTTTCTGAGCACTTTGTCAAATCCAGGACTCTCGCACATCGCGCTCATGACCTGACGCATCGCGCGTAGCAACGCCGCGCCGGTGGCTGCCATCGCTGGCTGCTTGAGTGACACGGCGACGTCACTGACAGCCGAATCGATTCCGCCAGACCGATTCCACCGTTTAGATGATTCAAGACGATCGATTCCACGTGTTTTCTCGCAAGCTCTCTACCCCTGTAAAACATTTTTTTATATCTACAGTATATACTTTTCAATCGTGCTTATTCTAATGCTTGGATGTTACTGTTGTGAAGACGTGCAGAGAGGAGTCCAGCACACGTGAGTAAACGTCTTAGTTATTTTATTCAGCCGCACACAACACGTAGGAAGACTACACCCAATAACACCGCAACTTTCACCCTCTCTTAACCCGCATCAGCCCATCAACGGGCCGATGCGCACATGAGCGGGGAATCAAAGACAAGCCACACTTGTGCGACCGTGGCCATGCAAGTCAAACTATGGACCTTAGAGTGAACCCATAGAATCTGAAAAGATCCATGGAGACACATGAAGACCAATAGAACATAGCGATAGCATTAATGACAAGGCACAGGAGTGTGACTTTCAGTTCAGTTTCATTTATTTGGTATAGCCCTGTGAGCCATTCGCCTCTTTAATCGGGTGCAACCGCAAAAACATGAACAAGAAAACATCTTAAAGTGACTATGTGACTGTGCAAACAGAAAATCCAGGAAAAAACAGCAAAATATTCCAGAAAAAGCACCGTACACCAATGCTGTGTGAACAAATCCCAGTGGGATGCAAGTCAAACAACAACAACAACCACAAGACAACTTAGATTTAGGCCATCAGTCTAACTCCGTACTAAAACAAACAAACATGGCCAAACCAAAAAACTTTTCTAAATCACCAAAATAAAGCCATAAAAGCAATGTAACAGTGATCATAGGAACTGTGACCGAATTTTCACCATAAACTACATAAACAACATGTGCCATCAAACCCTGCAGCCATAGCTGGCTGCATGAGTCATTACTATGGCCTGGAACCCAAACTATGGACCAATGCAGTCTATACACCTTCAACGGAGGAGGGTGAATAGCAAAATCGCATGAACTATCTCTACTGAAGCCCTCTCGTAGTGGCTAGAAGACTTCAGATATTGGCATTTAGCTAATTAAGAACGTATTGCCACCATAGGCAACTACAGAGACTGACGCCTTTATATGTTGTAGTTTACGTATCCCCGTGATGGTGTGGATTTTGATCCCGGGTCCTCCAGGTTTTTTTTCACTCCAAAATTAGGAAACATGCGTTTAAGAGTATTTGGCTGCTTTTACATTTCCACACGATAAGCGACTTCATTCGGGGCTATCATTTGTGGCCAGGTCGCTGGCCACACTAAGTGGCGGTGACTGTTATACATTTTTCTTTTAATCTGTTGTTGATGAATTTTGAGGGTTTTTTGCTAAAATTAATATATCAGAAAAGAATGTGGTTCGTTTAGAGCGGTCGCTCCAAACCTTTCAGCACCCAGAGACCACTGTCAACTCTCAAACATGTTTCGCGGACTAGCATTCATTAAAGAATGCGGTGTTTTGTTTAAAAAAATCATACCTACAACAGTTCCGTTGACGACTTCCCACGACCTTGTGGGCCACCAGTCATCCGAGGACTACAATCTGCCACCATCCTGGGCAAATACTCAACATTACCTAACCTAAAGCCAGCAGTGACCAACCACCAGAGCTCACCCCCGTCTTCTCCCCGCTTCCTTCATAGGCCAGCACCTGGGCCCCTGTGCGCTCCTGGGCCCCTGTGTGCTCCTGGGCCCCTGTGCGCTCCTGGGCCCCTGTGCGCTCCTGGGCCCCTGTGCGCTCCTGGGCCCCTGTGCGCTCCTGGGCCCCTGTGCGCTCCTGGGCCCCTGTGCGCTCCTGGGCCCCTGTGCGCTCCTGGGCTCCTGTGCGCTCCTGGGACTCGCGCAGTTGCACTGCCTGCACACTCGGTAGCTAGGCCACTGTATATGGTGGCTTGTTATGTTTGTTTTGTGTGCACACCTGCAGGTGGAGGTGGTGGGCCTGCCCTGGTAAAATAACAAAAATAGTTTAGTTGCATTCTTCACCCACCACTCCATGTCCGTTTTCCCCAACAATAATATCACTTCACCCGCCATTCGCCACTAAGTGGCGGTGACGTCGCCACGACGCCTGTGCCAGGCTAGGTGCACTTTGCGGCTATCACGTGAAGTGTCGAAGGCTCGCCTGCTGACAGGAGGTCTTGGCACAGACGCAGCTGACTGAGATCAGTTCAGTTCATTTATTTTGGTATAGCCCTGTGAGCCATTCGGCTCTTCAATCGGGTGCAACCACAACAAACAAAAAACATGACCAAGAAAACATCTTAAAGTGACTATGTGACTGTGCAAACAGAAAATCCATGAAAAAAAACAGCAAAATATTCCTGAAAAAAGCACCGTACACCAACGCTGTGTGCAAAAAAATCCCAGTGGGATGCAAGTCAAATCAGAATCAGAAAGGGTTTTATTCGCCATGAAAGTTCACACCGACACGGAATTTACTTTGGCAGGATGGTGCATACATTCAACATATAGGAATCTAAAATCTTAAATAAGTTTTAAACAAGTCTTACTATAATAATAAGGGTTAAAAGTCTAACTAACACCAAGGGGCTGAAGTATATAAAATTGAATAAATATCGAATATAAAATAGCTTTAAGATATAATTAAAAAATAAAAAATACAAATAGGTTAACATAGTTAATATCTTTTGATTTAAAGCTTTCGTGACTGCAGTAATTCATATTCTTAGCTCTTTCGGCAAAGTCACGCCAAAGGTAAACAACAAAACAATAAAATATACACATAACAACACAAACCCTCGACGCCTCGACCACAACACAAACACCTGAAGACGACCGTCTGTGTTATGGTCGAAACGTCGTGAGAACCTGCATTGCTCTATACATATCCCACCACTCTGCTGTTTCCCTTCAACGTTACCCCACCGAAAGAACCAAGAACATGAATATAGTTAATATCGGCAAGGTGTCATTATGTAGATAAAATGTTAAAATCAGTGTAAGCCCTTGGCCTTGTTTAACAGGCCAGCAGCAGATGGGAAGAAACTGTTTTTATGGCGTGAGGTTTTGGTCCTGATGGACCGAAGCCTTCTGCCGGAGGGGAGTAGCTGAAACAGAGAGTGTCCAGGGTGGGAGGAATCGGACATAATCTTCCTCGCTCGCCTCATGGTCCTTGTCGTGTGCAGGTCCTCGAGGGTTGGTAGATTGCAGGCAATTACCTTCTCAGCAGTGTGGATGATACGCTGCAGTCTGCTCTTGTCCTTGGCAGTGGCAGCAGCGTACCAGACGGTTATGGAGGAGGTGAGGATGGATTCAATGATCGCTGTATAGAATTGCACCATCATTGTCTTTGGCAGGTTGAATTTCTTCAGCTGCCGTAGAAAGTACATCCTCTGTTGAGCTCTCTTGGTGAGGGAGCTGATGTTCAGTTCCCACTTGAGGTCCTGGGAGAGAATAGTGCCCAGGAAGCGGAAGGACTCTACAATTTTGACTGGGGAGTCTAACAGGGTGATGGGGGTGAGGGGGGCTGTATTCTTCCTGAAGTCCACAACCATCTCAACTGTCTTTAGAGCATTTAGCTCTAAGTTGTTCTGGCTACACCAGGTCACCAGGTTGTCAGCTTCCCACCTATAGTCAGACTCATCCCCACCAGAGATCAGCCCAATGAGGGTGGTGTCGTCCGCAAACTTCAAGAGTTTGACGGACAGATGATTGGAGGTGCAACAACAACCACACGAAAACTTAGATTAAGGCCATCAGTCTAACTCCGTACTACAACAAAACAAACATGTCCAAACCAAAACACGTTTTTAAAATCACCAAAAAATAAAGCCATAATTGCAACGTAACAGTGATCATAGGGACTGTGACCGAATTTTTACAATAAACTACATAAATAACATGTAACACCAAATCCTAGAGCCATAGCTGGTTGTATGAGTTACTCCACAACAACAGAAGCATCAGTCGGAGTATCAATTTTTCAATGCACCTTTAAGATCAGCACGCTAAATAAAAATACAGATAATACTTTGCAGCGTCATCCGGAGCGAAACATTTTATTTTACGCCCATGAATATCAGTGGCAGCTAGGGGTGTACAACTCCTCTAGAGCAGTTTTGAGTGAAGATCTCATTGGTAGCGATTCAAGTTGTAGTTTATTGGCAATAGCATTCCAGACCCTGGGGGCATCAATAGCAAAGGCGCTTCCTCCAGTTTTTGTACGGAAATAGGGCCTGATGAACGGTAGATGCACCCAGCTGTACCCCCAGCTGTGCCAACTTGCTGTAATTTAATCGCCCGGCAATCTCCGCACGTTGTTGTGAGCGTCGCTTTTCCCACCACCACCACCGACCAGCAAGACTCCTCCCCTGCTCTCAAACTACCAACCAATCACGATCGCCCGTGAGCTCACGGAGGTGGGGGGGGGAGGATGACGGTCACCTGAGTGGCTGCCTGGATCGGCCATTCAGCGCGCGCGCCCTGCCCGCACAGCTGATGCCAACTTCCTTGCGCGGACTTCCTGATTTTAAGTGTCGCGTTGCAGGGCGGTCGTCTGATTAGTTTGCACGGATGATGGTAAAGTTTAGCCGGTGTGTGTACGTTAAACCTCTTTACTACCGTACGTAGTCAACCGTGCTAATCGGAGGTGCAGTGTTGAGTCTATGGGCAGTGTTGAGTCTGGATAGTTATTCGTCTATGGGCAGTATGTATGTACGTTGAACTTCTGTAGTACCGTACGTAGCCAAGCTTTGCTAATCGGAGGTGCAGTGTTGAGTCTATGGGCAGTGTTGAGTCCATGGGTAGTGTTAGTCTATGGGCAGTATGTATTACGTTGCACTTCATTCGTACCGTGCTAATCGGAGGTGCAGTGTTGAGACTATGGGTAGTGTTAGTCTATGGGGAGTATGCATGTATGTTAAACATCTTTCGCACCGTACGTAGCCAACCGTGCTAATCGGTGTCCCTGCTATTTTACAAGGAGGATCCGTGGTTTCCGGGTGAGCACAGCGGCAGCATTAAAAAAAAACAGAAAATATTGTACGTCAAAAGTACAGCAGGAACCTTTCGTTAAGAA